TTTTGGGGCAGCCCCACAGAGCTTGCCTGTCCCTTACTGACATTTGGGAAATTCCAATAAGGGACAGAAGCAGAAGTCTATATTCATTCAATTGGCTACATCAATTAGGCCTCCAAAGGGATTCAATAATGTGGTTCCCATTTTTGCTTTACATCAGATCTACCTTTTTACTGTTCATGTCCATCCTTAACTGCTACATGCTCTCCTGCCCATAAATATAATTTGGAGCTGTGTGATCTTCTGGACACCAGCACCTGCTTGGTTCCTCCCTATCCCAAGCTGTAATTACCAGTTATTAAAGGTCATTAACAAACTGGGAGTTAATGACTAGGTAGAAACAATTTGGCCACCCCAAGCATTTGGGGTGTTGGCTTCTTTACCTCCCTGTTTACATCTTTGACAAATAGTAGAATACCATCAAAAAGCACAAATGGATGGCCAGTGCTTCCACTAAGGTGGATGCAAGCAGAACGGACCCGTTTCCTTAGATTCTATTAGGATTATGTAGACCATGGGGAACGGTAGATATTTACTATGAATGAGCACTCATCTCAATTTCATGTAGTATATACAAATGTGGAATCATGCTTTTCCTAATCTTATAACCCTAGAATCACCTCCCGTATATTAATTGAATGTGTTTTGTTTTTTTTTAATTTGATTTATATGCCGCCCTTCTCCGGAGACTCAGTGTGGCTTACAATGCATTAAGCAATAGCCTTCATACTTTTGTATATTTATACAAAGTCAGCTTATTGCCCCCACAAACTGGGTCCTCAATTTACCTACCTTAGAAAGGATGGAAGGCTGAGTCAACCTTGAGCCTGGTGAGATTCGAACTTACAGTAATTGCAGACAGCTGGTGTTAATCACAATGCTATCAGTCTGTTGAGCCACCAGGCCCTTTGACAGAAGCTGGAGAGCAAACCAGAGAATTCTGACCCAATGCCAATTTACTGTTTGCCTGATCACTAAAATTCCCAGGTTGCTCTTCCTGGAATTAATCATGTCCTGCTTCAGACCTGGGTGTTATCCCCATACTGTTTGACTAGGTAACACACTTCATTCTAGACACTGCAGGTAATATATTGTGTAACTAAATATGCCCAGTCCCTAATTCCTAGTTACTGTCACCCCATTCTATATTTTTACCCCAAAATAGAGAAAATCAGCAACAAAATACTCTTTTCTTGACCTCTCCTTCCCATTCCTAAGTATCCTTCCCTTGCCTCCTCTGTTTGCTTTTCTCTGAAATCATCTGTTTTTAACTGTGGGCGGCTTCTCCAACCAGGACGTGCCTAGAGCAGAACAGCTGCCCAACAACCGCACGCCAGAGACAGGGTGTGTACGTGCAATGAGAGGCTGGATATATGTGGTACAGAGTTTGTGATAGGATACATTGTGCAGAGAGTAAATGGGTGTGTGCAGGGATATTCAGGATCATGTGAGAGAGGATGATGAAGAGTCCAAATGAGGTATTTGTTGGATTGAATCAAGTGTTGTATGATTTGCTTATATTGTACAAATTTGTGTTCAAGCAAGTGATGTAGAAACCATTTTAACTGGACAACATATGTGGAAAAGTGTATTAGAATACACTTTTTCATATATGCTGTCCAATTAAAATACATTCATACTCTGTAAGAGTATGATATAAAACCCAGCATTCTGGAAACTATTAAAGCATTAGTGTTTACATAGTCCATAAAGAAGTTTTAGATGAAAAGTATAGGCACAATTTTGTCTGAGCATACATATGTTTGAGGAGGGAACAGTAATACAGTAGTATTTCATGCCAATGTGTAAATTCCCATTCACCCGGTTGCTTGCAATAAGAATCACTTATAAGAATCCAGTATGGAGTATTTACCAAAGTTATTTTTGTCTATGCCATAAATCATCTACATCAAGTGACAAATGGGATCATAACACAAACCTTATAGAATAATATCATTCTAGTATTGTTTGCAAGGCTGAATAGATTGCCTTGCAACAGCTCCTCTGTATGTAGGAAGAGACTGCCAGAAAAACCCAATTTTAAACATTCTATCTCCACCTTGTTTCAAGGCAGATTTCCTTATCAACTAAAAATCCTAAAGGTGACATATAGTAATATATTCAGCATGGTTAGACAAAAGAAATTAGATCACCAGCTTTAAAAGATGCCATAATAGAAAGGCCAGCTTTTAAAGGCTGATCCTTAAAAACCATATTGGTCAGATAACAATCCTACTGAGAATTAAGGTTATCATCAAAGCTGATGGGATATCAAGAAGAAAAGTCAAAAATTGAATCAAGGACTGCTATGAAGAGATGCGTATCTGATAATTTATGGTACTTTTCTTGATTATTAAGCGTGTTTCACATACACATTATGTGTCACAGATGGAAGGCTAAAAGAACGCTAACTAGCAAGACTGCCTAATGTTAACAGTTGAAGTGGAAATTCAATCAGGAATCCACTATGCTGTATTCCTAGGTTGCCTTCCAGATGAATTGGTATTGCAATTCCAAGAATTCTCAACCAACCTAGCCAAAGACAATTCATTACACTATCTAGGAATTATGGGATTTCTAATCCCAACATATCAGGTGGGTAATCAGATTAGTCACAGCTGATCTGGAGTACCTGATTTATTAGAAAAATTAAAAATATCAGTATAATAAATAACTGTTCAGCATAATCTGCAAAATAGAGATGGAATAATAGGGGTAACAGTGATGGTAGTGACAGAAAATGACCCCCTAATCAGTAAAAGCACAAAAAGAACATACTTTTTTATGTACACATCATTTGGAACAAATTTGAAAAACTAATATATGGGTTAATACTAGACAGTCCTAGGAAGGGAAGCTGGGAGCAGACAGTGTCTGAGTTGCTCCTGAGTCACAGAGGCCAATAACACGTTTCCACCTAAGGTAGCCAAAATAACCCAGCTGGGAACTTTCCCACATGGAGTTTGTTTTCCATCTCAGTGGTTACAAGAAGCAGAGGACATGAGAAAATAAAACATATTGCTCTCTGGTGGGATATATATTTGCCAAAGGCTGCTAAGTAGTTAGCGTGGCACAACAGAGAGTGGGTTGGGCTTAAAGGCAAAAAATATAGATTCTAATCGCTATTCTGAAACACGATGGGCCATTATGGAAAAGTTACTACCATGAGCTTCACCTATGTAACAGTCTTTGAGACTAAACATATTTTTGCATGCCTTGAAATCTTTCTCTAACTGGGAGTCAATAAAATGTTTTGGGACCACAACCCTCAGAATTCCCAGGGATACCAGAAACATCTGGTTGAAACCTTCTTAGGAATCATAAAAGGAAAGATTCTACATACATGTCATAAAGAAATATATAACTCACTCAAAATTATGGGCTTCTCTGTAAGAATGTTTTTTAAAAGTACCAAATTTAACAGTAACCTAATAAGATTAAGGCTGGTATCTGGCATACTTGTTATTACTTGAATTATAAGATTTTTAGGTGTCTAGACTTGTCAGTTCTATATGATTTTCAGAGCCAGTTCAGTGTAGTGGTTAAGGTCCTGGCCTAGAAACCAGGAGATTCTGAATTGATGCCTCCCTTAGGCATGAAAGCTGGTTGGGTGAGGTTGGGCCAGTCATTCTCTCTCAACCCAACCCACCTTACACGATTGTTGTTGTGGGGAAAAATAGAAGCAAGGAGTATTAGATACTGTATGTTCACCGCATTGAATTATACATAAAAAGATGGGATGAAAATATAATAATGATGTCAACATAGATCTAGTTATGTTCAAAGATATTTTGCTAAGTAAATATCTACCACTGCAGCCAAAAAATTCCACTTCTGTGGACTGGAGCTAAAAAGTGTGAGAAAGAATTTCTACAACAGAGTGACATTGTTGGAAAAGTGTGACTTTGGAAACCTAAAACAAACATGACTAAAAATCACAGGAGGCTAAGGAACAGAGTGAGATGAAGGTAGAGGTTCACATATTGTGCTAAGCCATAGTTTAGCTATTTCATATTTGGTTGGGTTCACATGATTTACAAATCACAATGCCTGTGGTCACATAGCATCCTTAAGGCCTTTTGTTCATAGTTGCTGCCCTGACTTCCCACTACTACAGTAATGTGTAACAATTCCAAGTTGTTTACAGTTGTTGAGGCTATCTTTAATGGTTTCAGCATAAGAGATAAAATATTAAGATAATATCAGTGTAGCTCACTTAAGGCTCTTTCTTGTGAACTGGGGGAGTGTGTGAAATAAATGTAATGTGTCAGCTAGAGACAAAATTGCTACACTTAGTACCTGATTGTGCACTTAGGTAGAAATTTAACTAAGCCAAACAAAACACATCATAGCATAGCAACGAGACTTTCCTTTTGCTTTTTATCCAAGAAGCTTCATCAGTTCCCAAAAAGCACTTTTGGAACAACCATGACCTGGATGGCTGAGAACAGGGGTGAAATCCAGCAGGTTCTGACAGGTTCTGGAGAACCAGTAGCGGAAATTTTGAGCAGTTCGGAGAACTGGCAAATACCACCTCTGGCTGGCCCCAGAGTGGGGTGGGAATGGAGATTTTGCAATATCCTTTCCCCAGAAGTGGGGAGGGAATGGAGATTTTACAGTATCCTTCCCCTGCCACACCCACCAAGCCACACCACGCCCACAGAACCGGTAGTTAAAAAAAATTGGATTTCACCACTGGCTGAGAATCTCCATAAAAACCATAGCATAACATCCTCCATTAAGTCTGCAAGAAAATGTGACAAGCCACTTTTTGGTGTTATTTTTCTCTTTCTTCCAGCTTGTTAATAATTGAAGTTCAGCAAGTATTTAGACTGTAGAATAAGCAGACTTTCTATTTATTTGCCTGTATCAAAGGAAACGCTAGCTGGGACACTGAAGTCTTCCCTTTAGGAGACTCATCGCTCATGTCAAAATCAAATTCCCTCTCAAGAGTTAACACCAAAGCGAGGCATGCTGCTACCCCCTAGTGGGGACTCTCCTACCTGGATCTATCCAACTCCCGCTTCTCCTTTCCAGACTTCATTGCTCGGCGTTTTAACGTATCCTGTGGCGAACCGGTTTATTGCTAAGGCGATACTGGTGCAGAGCCCCTGGGGGAATCTGTTGAGGGTTTTGATGAGAAGGCTAGACGGCCAAGACATTGAAATCCACAACCACGCTTATCAATGGTTTTCCGTACTACGGGAACACAACACACGTGAGATAAAATATGCCTCTGAGCATGTACAGAGTGTATCTCTTACAGTGCCCACCCGCAGACCTGCTTCTGACATAGGAGGTCTCGAGCGCCCCCACCGCTTACGGTTAAAAAGGAGAGCGAGCCAAACCCCGCCTCCGAGCGCCCGCCTTCTTCGCCGAATGGAATAATAACTTCCTAGAGCGTCTCCAGAGGCATTTATTTTATTTTATTTTATTTTCCCCCTTCAGTTCCCCGCCGCCGCCCACTCCGCCTTAATTGCACGCCGGTGACGTCAGGACGGGGCGCGAGGGCCGCTCTAGGAGGCGTGGCTCTTGGTAAGACTGCTCCTGCGAGCGGCGGAGCCATGGGGGAGATGGGCCCCGGCGAGCGATGCGGGGCGCTTCTCACTTGGGTAAGGCCGCCGATGGGGCGGGAGGGGGGAGGAGGTGGGCTCCCAAAACAGGGCGCTGCTTTCGCCGCATTTCTCGCGCCGTCTCGCGCAGCGCTCCCTCGCTCACGCGACGTTTTCCTCCAGCGCCGGAGCCGCCCGCCGCCTTTGCAAGTGGTTTCAACAGGTGTCGTTTTCCTGGCTCTGCCCCGCGCTCGGCTTTTGCCCCTGGAACTGCCCCGGGAGGGAGAAGGTGGCGGTGGCCGTTCCTAAACCGTTCCATTCGGAAGGCACCTGCTGCTTGCAGCTTTGCATCTGCGGCGGTTTCCTCCTGCACTCACTTGAGCAATTCCTGGCCTGTTTCGGTCATAAATAAGGAGAGGGAAATAATCCGTCTCGGGCGGGGCGGGCTTCCTAAATCCACCTGATTTGGAGATGGCAAAACGAGCCTGCGTGAGGAGGGAGCAATGCTGGCTTGGGCGTGCAGATGCTTGCATAGACCTCGTTCCTCTTGATTTCTCAACACCAAACACCTCTTGGAGGTCTCTCGATGCCACTAGGCTGCATGACTGTAACTTTGTTGCTTGTATCCTTACGATTTATATTGCTATTCTATTCTATGTAAGCATCAATCATGCTTTTTTTGTAGCCTTTGCTTGGCTCAGCGTGACGTCATATAGTCACTTTCCCTCGCTCTGTAGTTAGTTGGCTTTTCTCTTTGCCTTTTAAATGGTGAGTTTTGGGCCTTTTCAGGATTCTTAGTTTTTCTTTTCACACACACACATATATCCCATCTGCTTTTCTGTGAGGACAAGGGATAGTAACAGTCTGTTAAAAACCAACAGTAATATATGTGCAACTGAACTATGTATAGCTCTGTACAACACAAAAGACATCTACTTAAACCTGCTTCAGAATTCAAGGTCAGATCTAGTGGAATTGAAATCCTGGTGAGACACACCTGTGTATTTTTCTTAACTCTATTGTACGGAAGTGCTTTGCCATTGCTTCCTTTTCAGGATGTATTTTTAACTGGCCTGTGGCATTCCTTAGTTATGAGGCTAGAAAAGATTGGCCAGATACTGCCACCTACTGAGTCTTGCATAATAAAGGCTTAAATAACATGTCATGGGGTCAGGTTACCAGGTGAATCCATGGTCTGTTAAAAAGCTGATATCTGAGATTACTGGGGGAAGGCTTGTTGGCTGTACTATGACCTGCAGACTCACCTGATACTAACAGGCATCAGTGACAGGCTTGGTTTGTTATGATGCCCAGGTGCTTCAGTGTCCCCATGTATTCAGACAAGGTCCAAGTGTGATGTGCTTTGTGTTCCTATTAAAACCTTGTTGCAAATTTTTATTAATTTATTGAGAATAATGGGGAAAGGGAGAAGGAGAAAGGAAAGAGGAAAATGTCTAGGATAAAAGGGAAAAGAAAAACAAAAGCATTGACCCCCAACTCTTTTTAGCACACTAGAATAAGATAATAACATACAACCTCAACTTTTTACTGCTACATAATAATATATTCTAGCCATTTCTATAAGACCAAATCTATCTAATCAGCAAAACCCAAAATCAAAGTTTATTTATTTATTTATTTATTAAATTTTTATACCGCCTCCTCTCCCGAAGGACTTGGGGCGGTGAACAGCCAAGATTAAAAAACATATAATATAAACATTAAAATACATTTTAAAAAATTAAATCCAAAATGGCTCCCCAATTTAAAACGCCTTACCCATAACCCTATAATTAAACAAATTTAAAATTTCCACATTTAAAAGGGGGAAGGTTTAGGCCAGGCCGGCTTGATGAAATAGAAGAGTCTTAAGCGCGCGGCGGAAGGTGCGCAGATCCGGGATCCTCCGTATCTCCGGGGGGAGCTCGTTCCAGATCGTAGGTGCCCCCACAGAGAAGGCTCTCCCCCTAGGGGCCGACAGCCGACATTGTTTGGCCGACGGCACCTGGAGGAGCCCCTCTCTATGGGAGCGTACTGGCCGGTGGGAGGCTATTGGTGGTAGCAGGTGGTCCCGTAAATAACCAGGTCCTAAGCCATGGAGCGCTTTAAAGGTGATAACCAGAACCTTGAAGCGCACCCGGAAGACCACTGAGAGCCAGTGCAGCTCGCGCAGGAGAGGTGTTACATGGGAACTCCACGTCGCTCCCATAACCACCCGCGCGGCCGCACTCTGCGCCAGTTGGAGCCTCCGAGTGCACCTCAAGGGGAGCCCCATGTAGAGAGTGTTGCAATAGTCCAGCCCAGAGGTAACGAGGGCATGAGTGACTGTGCATAGGGAGTCCCGATCTACAAAGGGACGCAACTGGCGGATCAGGCGAACCTGATGAAAAATCCTCCTGGTCACGGCCGTCAAATGCTCTTCTAAAGACAGCCGTGGAATCCAAGTTCCATTTTTTTCCACTTCAAGCACAAAGTCCAGAAGCTGTTTAACAATAGAGTATTCCTATTCTGTCCTTTCCCTCAGGCTTGCTTTGGTTTGATGTTATAGACTAGAGGATCACAATTATTTTTATTGTAAACGATCTCTTAAATTTTATAATTTGTTATATTGTTTCTTATTGCTATGTTATGTAATGTAATGCTTCGTTTTGTTTTTTATTGTGCACTAGTTCAAGAATTTTTTTGTTATAGCAAGCAGAATATGTTAATGAAATACATATAGAACTGCCATCTATCAAGAGAAGAGACTGCATCATTGCTCAAAGGCAAATTAAGTTTTAGGAACACTTTTTTAAAAACTGAGATTAATTTTACAGTACTGTTAAGCCATCCATAAAGAGGGCAAGTTTATATGATTAAAAATATTTTTATAACTAATAGTTTGTGAGGGAAGATTTTGTTTTTGATTCTTTAATGCTGTAGACCAGTCAAGCAAAAGTTATAATGAAATGATGAATATTTTTATAGTAGAGATTTTTCTTTTTAATTCTTTTAATATAAATTATAATATAAAGTTTTCTTTTAATATTTTTCTTTTAATAAAAAGAATACATACATACATTAGAACATACATCTAAAAACTACAACCATTGTCAATTAATGATTTTTATTTATTACATTTATACATTGCTGCAATCCTAAAGACTTCTCAGAAGTTCACAGGAATAAAAGACACAAGTATAATTTAAACTTCCACAATTGTATTAAATTAAAATAGAAAATACAGAAATATGTAAGGACAAAACCCCAATGAATACCAATCTGTTTCAAGATATCCGGTAATGAGATAAATTACGAATCATATTTTAAATTGAAAGTTTATATTTCTTAAAAAACATTTTCACTTTGTATATTGTCCACCTCGTGCTTCTAGAGGTGCTTCTATGCATTGGGTAGCAGGATCGTTCTCCACACTCTTCATTTTATTCTCTATCATTAAATACATATCTCACCTAGAGTTAATCAGTTCTTGTCACCCATTGAGGTAATTACTTCTCCTCACTTGCTATGTTTTATGGCATCTGAATGGCCAAAAACCAGGCATGTTGTGATTGCTGGAAATGTAGCCTTTGTCAATATAGGGAACATGCACACACCGTTCAGTAAGATGCTAACCTCTTAGGTTGAGGACAAGCAAATAAATTATACTAAGTGACAAGACAACACACTAATTACCCTTAACTCCTGTAAAGGGCAGAGGAAATGCCTTTGAGGGACAGGAGGAACAGCCACTATCAAGGCAATAGTCAAATAAAAGGGCCTGAGGCGTGGCCAAGAAATTAACATGAATAAACATCTCCCACAAAGTCCCTCCCTAGTTCACAAAAAAATAAAGGGAGTAAGCCATTCAGACTTGCAAGGTTCTGTTACTACAACATTATGATATAAATTATACTGACCTACATGGTTTTGGTTTTCTATTCTGATCTTTCTTGAAGTGTTGACATTCCTTAATTTTACTGGGTATAATACCGTATAGCCAAATTTTGTTTGAGCACTCTCACATGCTCATTGAAATCCCTCCAAGCAACTAATCAAGAAGCTTCTGGACTCGTCTGGTTTCAAACTGGGTCACTTCACTGCTTTTTCCATGTCCAAAGCCAGATTTCTTAGATTGCTTTGTTCTTTGTTTAGTTGCTTATTCTGTGTACAGCTCTGTTTTTTTTCCTATCAGGTCTTGTCAGGCTGTTGTAATATTATGTACTCTTAACTCCTGTAATTGTCCAACGCGGCGTCTGTCTAGCAGTGCAGGACAATATTATTCTTATACTTGGAAGTGCTGTTGTTATGGGAGCTAATGCAACCAAAAATCCTACTATAAATATATAAGCCTGGAGCTTTCAAAATATGTATTTGGGGGAGGGGATTCTTTGGTATTCATGGCTACTGTTAGAAGTACTCTTTACTGTGGTAAAGAGAACTTTTGCCCATCTTAGACTGTTGTGCCAATTGTAGTCCTTCCCGGTGACGGTTCTGGTGACAGTTATTTGTGCCATTATCACCACGTTTGGATTGCTGTAATATAATGTATGTCTAGCCACATTTGAAGACAATCTAGAATTAAAATGTACCAAATATATCAGCCAGGTTAGATAAACTAATGTTGCATATTTTGGTTGCTACTCTGTTTATCATTATCTTTCTGAGACCAATTAAATGTGCTGCTTTAGCCTATAAAACCCTACATGGTGCAGCACCGAAATATCTTAGGAGCTGTCTTCTAAAATGTTCCTATCTCCAGGAAAGGAGATATTGCGTAGGATTATCCATAAGTGGAAAATCTATTCACTAAATTAGAAACCAAAGCGATTAGAGTTAGATACCACAAAATATATTTTTATTAGAATCCATTATGATGATCACTTGTCTTGCTGGCAGGCAGCAAACGAGGTGAGGCCATTATGATTCTGAAGGTGTTTCTTCTCCGCCTCCTCCACATCACACTTCTGGAACTTCATCTTATTATCCGTCTTATGTAAAATGATTATTTGGTTTAGGCAGGATTTAATCTGTGATTATTATTTGTGATTTTCATCAGTATGGATTATAGTAATAACACTGGGCACATAATTTTCTGCTTCAATTGGTTTTTCTGATTTTATTGATTTTTTAAAAATCAATTTTGATTTTATGGTGTTCATCTTTATAAATCATCCAGACACTTGAAAAGAATTTTGAAATGGAGTGATACATAAATGAGTGCATAAATTTAAAAAATACTCATTTAAGAACTTGATATGATTTCTGGCCCTCAAGAATAATATGAAATAGTCATTTATTAAATTGGATTACTCAATCTTCTGCCCTTTGGTTCTATATAGATAGTCCTCACTTAACAACTCTAATTGGGATGGAATTTCCATTGCTAAGCAAAATGAACATTAGGAAAAACATCATCATATGATCACAGAGTTTAACTTTAGTCCTGGCTGCAGCCCTTAGGCCAAGGCCTCATGCTTCTGTCCCGCTGTGCTGCCTCTGCTTCAACTCCCCCACCTGTATATCTACCCCTCATCTCTGCCTTTTGGCCATCCTGCATTCTGCCCCTCCTGCTCTTGATGAGGTATACACAGCCTGGCCCTTCACAAGGTAGCTGCTGGCCTTGCAAGACCTTCCTAACGGCAGCAGGGGCAGCAGAGGGCAGAGAAGTCAAAAGGGCAGAGCTGGGAGGGAGAGAGGTGGGTGAAGGGAGTTGATAGGCGGGTGGACAGAGTTGAAGCATAAATTGAGGGTGGTGGGAGCTGCCAAGGGCCTGAATTTTGATCATGTAGCTATGGGGACTCTTTAATGGGCATAACTTTGAAGACTGGTCATAAATACTGCTTGTTCATTGTCATTGTAACTTCAAACAGTTGCTAAACAAATGTTCCTTGGCAAGATCTGTACTAAAGTTCATCTAAGCTGTTTTCTACCTTGACTTTTGATTTCCTGCTGGCTTTCCCGTTGAGTTTCTTTGTAGGAAGCTGGCAGGGAGCTTTGGAAATGGATCACATGACCACGTCTGACTATGGCAGGGCAGTGGCATAGCAGCACTGAAGCAGCGACAACTTTGTCAAATTTCAATCCTACAAGAGTCATGGGGTCCTGGATTTTGGATGCATTCTTTAAGTTGCCTTATTTGATAGTCTTGTTGCCCTAGGATGCATTATTTTGCCCAGCTGAAGGTTATAAGCAAATAAATGGACATGAGAGTTTTAGTAGTATACATTGTGAAATAAACTTAAAATACTATTTTATCTTAAAATCTGTATTGTCACGTTTCAAGGTTAAGTATGTTGTGTGCATAAAATTTCAAGATACAATTTTGCTGGCTGAGCAATTCCCAAATTGCCGTTTTCAGAATGGCTGCCCAGAATGATTGCCTTGTTATCTTTTTTATCTTTAATAAGCAGTACAGTAGTTGCAAACCTTGGTCATCTTGTGTCAATACCATTTCATTTAGCTTGTTATACATCATTTTTAAAATGCCAGCTGTTAGGCTTATCCCAGGAAAGAAAATATTACAGTTATTTGTTGCTAGATTTGGATTGAAAGCTGTGTGATAAGGAAGGGCAGCTTTTTCTCCCACTGCAACAATGAGAAACAAGAGACTGCATTTGCCAAACATCTTTTTTTGCAATTGTATCTTCTATAAAAATCTAGCAGATCCAAAGCTGCTACTTATAAGAAATAATATTTTTATATGAAACCCAGATAATAATTAGTTGCAAAATTACTAGTGCTTCTGCCACATTCAGACTGGAATGGTCACCAACATAGTATTTATAATCAAGAACCAGCCATCTTTTGTATGAGAAGGCTGGAAGTGATTGCCATATTATTAGTGAAAGTAAAAGTATCTGTTCGTATCCTGTTACATTATTAGCTATTCATCGGGAGCTCGCAATACATAGTAAACTACGTATTAGCTAACAAATGTAGTTATCCTACTCCTAAACTTAAGGGGATCTCATGCAGTTTGATATCAATGGTTTAGGCTGTAAAACCTACAGGGCATTAGAGAATACCATTTGGTCTAGTGGTTAAGGCACCAGCCTAGAATCCAGGAGATTGTGAATTCTGGTCCTTCCTTAGGTATGACAACTGCCTAAGTGCCTTGAGCCAGTTGCTCATTTTTAGCCCATGATGACAAGCTTGGCGACAAACCATTGCATTGGTTGCCGGTTGCCCTCCGGGTGAGATTCAAGATGCTGGTAATGACATGGCTTAAAGATTCAAGGTGCTCTACATAGCTTAGGCCCAGGATACTTGGTGGACCATCTGCAACCAGCAACAGCTTCCCATCACCCGGTGCGTTCCCACAGGGAGGGCCTGCTCCGGGTACTGTCAGCTAGACAATGTCGGCTGGCGGCCCCCAGGGGTAGAGCTTTCTCTGTGGGCGCGCCCACCGTTTGGAATCAACTCCCCCTGGGGCTCCGGCTGGCTCCTGACCTCCGCACCTTCCGCCGTGAATTAAAAACATGGTTGTTTGCGTCACCTAGCCTGGACTTAGGGGGTTTTCGATTATTTTAACAGGTTTTAATATTTATTTATGTATGTATGTTATGTTTTTTTGGCTTGTTTTAATTGTTGTGAGCCGCCCTGAGTCCTATGGAGATAGGGCAGCATATAAGTTATATTAAATAAAATAAAATAAATAAAATAAAATATTAAATAAAAACCAGTTGTCAGTTTCTATGGCAAGCAATGGATCTACACTCAGTAATTCTGAAAAAAATCAGAACTCTGGATTTGTGGCAGGCTGGATAAAAATTGATGATTTTTTTAAAAAAATTTAAAAATCAGATTTTTTTATTTAAATAGATTTTTTTTATTTAAATCAGATTTTTTTATTTTTATCAAATTTATTTTAATAAAATGCTTTTGGAGTAAAATAATCTATCTAAAAATAGTTCTTTATTTAATATACATTAATAATTTAGTTTATTCAGTATGAAATGGAGCTTAGTAATGTAGTGTGAGGCTATATATTCTGAAATATTGGGACTTTTGGTGAGTCAATAGCAGGTCAGAGGAGGAGCCGCTGCAGGACAGAGATGACAGTTGCTCTTTAAAAATTATAATTTAAATCGAGTTGATTTAAATCAAGCCTTTTTACTAGTGATTTAAATCATGATTTAAATCAACTTGATTTAAATCAAATTCCCCTGATTTGTGGGAAAACATGAGGGGGAAAAAGGATTTCAATGAAAGATACTTTTGTTGAGACATTACATCTTATAATGCCATGTATGTCTTATCAATTTAATTTTTAATACAGTGTGCAGCAGAGATGGCTAAGTTGACTGTTTTAATCAAAGAAAAGAATATAAGTATTTTTGTTGCTACATGGAGACCACTTCTGGACATTGTGCTTGAGGTGGAAAAAAATGAAATTAGAAATGGCTAGTTTATAATATTATGGAAAAGTTAAAAGTTGAAGTTTGATGTTAATGCCTTGTTCTACTGCAACAGAAGGAGTCGGAAGTCAACACTTTTTTTTCTCCCTTGCCTCCTCACTTTTCTTTCCCCCTTCTCCTCCCCACTGTGTCCTGCTATTTGCTTTTGTATTTTTGTATTTTATTCTATAATCTAATAAAATGTTTTAAATGCAAAGCACTCTTGGAGCAAAGCAGTCTTGGAGTCATCCATAAGTTTTAAAAGTAGGAAGGAACCCTGAAAGCAAAACATGTAAGAAACACTGGTACAGTCTAAATAAGATGAAATATTTAGAAAGTGGGGATATATAAAAATGGCATGCTGGGATGTAGGAATATTTGCATTTTCCTCATTGCATGTGGGATACTGTTGTCTTGCTACCCATTGATCTATAGGCATAGATTTTAAGATCTGTAAAGGGATTTGAGAAAATGTAAAGATTTTATATTGGTCTTAAGTACATCTATTTCTCTGTAGCAGTTTTCTCCAACCAGAATATTTTTGCTGTGTGGACATTAGTTCTTATAATTCTCATCAGCAGTCTTGGGCTGAGAATTCTTGTCACACTTTGTATCTCCTTATAAAATGGAAATTATAAGAAAGTGATGAAATATTTTCTACAGTCACCATATCTAATAGAATCATGTTGGGTCACTTAATGATGATGTATAATCCAAGGGCGTGGATTCTGTTTCAGAATTGACTATCCCTTTTCTAAATAAAGGAAATTGCCTTTTGTCTGTACTTAACAAGTGATTTTACTTTTTTCAGATGCAAACTTTCCATGTTCCATCACCATGTATCAAGATGGAAGATTTGACCAGTGGGGTCACAATTGCCCAGGTGCTACACAAGATGTGAGTTTCATGAAGAACCTAGTGGAAGAGGAAAGTGTCTTAAAGCAATTCTCACAAAACCAATGATGGGGAAGTCTTAACAGAAAATCCTCAACTAGCCCCTCAATCTCTATTCTCTGTTCCTATGTCTTGCAAACTGCCAACCTGAGAGCACTCAGTGAGAGCTCTGAATGCCAATACCAAATTACTTTATTTTGACTATTGACTAACCTTAAGAAACATCAAGGTTTCCCTGTCCAGTCATGTCGGACTCTAGGGGGCAGTGCTCATCTCCATTTCTTAATGAAGGGAGCCAGTGTGGTCCGAAAACACTGCTGTGATCATGTGGCCAACATGACTATACGCTGAAGTGCACGGTGTATATAATATAGAAATAAAATATGATAAAAGATAAATCAAAATGAAATAAAAAGATAGATTGAACATGGCTAGTAAGATATAACTTTCTTAATAAAGATAAATCACTTTAAATCCTGATATTATTAACTCATTTCAGTGGGGGGAAAAACCCTTTGTAAATATAGCTAGAAATAGATAAACCAGATTAATCTGTAAACAGTAACAGATTTGTTACTAAGTGTAGAGCAAGTCAAACTGTTCATAGTCAAATCTTATTTGTTAAACTTTGATGATTTAAGAATACATCTCTCTGGTTAAGTAAAAGATAATTGTGATTAAAAAGAGGCAGTATGACCTAGGTATTGAGCTAATGAAGGTGTGATAAATGATTCACCTATCTTAGAATTGATAGTAAAAAAGCCTCTGGACTATTGTATTAGAGTGTCAAAGGTGTTCATTATCTGTAATGTTCTGGAATCTCCCTTTGAGAATCACAGTTTGCCTTTATTATAGCATAAGAGTGTCATAGTTCTTTGGAATATTGATATACAAATACAGTAGCAAATCATGATTTATAATCTAGTTGCTACATATCAAAGTCAGTATTTGTTGTCTGAGGTTTTTCCCAATGAGACATACCCCATTATTATTTGTACATGAGAAAAGTCATAATTAGGCAGCTTCTGTTCCAACCCATTTTTCCATATTGAGATAAAGGAGTCAGCTAAGATACTTGCAACTAAATCTTCCAAAAAATTAAACACTCCAAATACATATTTCCTTTTGCACAGTGTATAGCTGGACAATTTACTGCTAGGTTAGATCAGTTCGGACATAAAGCCAACAACTTGGAAAACAAAAGTTCCCATGGTAATTATCTTCTTTGCCATGATGGGATAATGAGAAGAATGTCCTGATTTTTTGGGTGAAAGGCAGGCAGAGCATATGCCTTAAGTAACTACTATAAAACCTGTCATCTGGATTTTCTATTGCTTCTGGAGTACTGAATACTTGTGATCTGCTGTAAAGAGTTTACTGTCTATCCCACATAAACACAAACAAAAACTTTGCATTTTTCTTTCCCAGAGATCCATCTTGGTTCAATGAAACATGGCTCCTACGGATTAAAGATGACACTGGTGACAATTGGAGACTGAAGGTATATATTGTGATTCAGTGAATTGATGTTCCAAAAGCATCTTATCCCAGATATTCTTACCTCTCTTTTTTGGTGTTTGTATTTCTAACTGTTCTGATAGACTACTTCTCAGTGTTTGATACATTCTGCAATTCTTGAACAGGACTAATACAGAGGTTTAACATAAATATATAACAGGGAAATTATCCATTACAATCCTGGCTTCATCTTGCTGTAGTATACTTCTGTCTGGTAAAGCAAGTTTCAAGTCAGTATTGTTAAACCAAATCAGAGAGCCAAGTGCATATAATTTGGATTGTTAAATGCATGAAGTCCAATGTCTTTAAATGCTCATAGAGAAATGGGAAGGGGGCAAGTAGAAAAGAAAACATTTATTTGAAGATAATTACATGGCAATGAGGTTTCCAGAAATGAGTTGATAGTATGATTATGTAACACAGCTTCAGCCTTATAGAAAGTGGAGACAAAGAAGAAATGCACTGGGGGCAGAAGAGTGGAAGGTACTGTAGAAAGATCATCATCCAGGTTCACTCGGTCTGTATTTAGAAGAAAGGAACAGTGATTCTTTGTTTTGAGTACTAGTTGGGAGGCCTCAAACTCAGAAGCAGAAATGAGCACTTAAGAAGAAAATTCAACAGCAGGCAGATACAAATTTGGAGGTTTCAGTGTTCTAAATCAAGTTATATACCAGCTTCATAAAGCATTTGAGACATAAAAGAGGAGCCAGTTCTAAAATGCACAGGATTCTTGAGTCTGATTATCCTAAAAGTGGAATTCAAGTTACTAGGTTGCAGTATATATTGGATAGTGTCATTTACTTTTCCATACTCTCAATACTGCCAGTTCAAGACATGTCCCTTGAATCTGATTATAACAAGAAGAAATCTATGTTTATAATCTTTTAGGAGAGCCTGCATCTGCTGAATAGCAAATAAGACTACTCCCTTATTTGTGCCAATAGTGATTGAAATCTTAGCAAAAAATGTCAGCTTGATCACCTTGACTCATCACTTTAGCTTCACAAAGTTCCGAGGTGCTTTTTGAAGGAGTACATGAAATGGACGGTCGAACTTTGTTCTCCAAACAGAGTTTGGAGAACAAAGCTGTTTGGATTGAAAATGAATGTGGCATTTAGCGGTGAGCCATCTTCAGCAAGCAGTGGCAATTGACCTGGCTTGTATCATGCTCTCTTGCCCACTAAATCATCACAACTCTTCTTCCTATCAAGGTAGCATTGAAGCTTGTAAAGTAGCATGATTGCCTATCTCATTACTAGGAATATTGGGTTCCAATTTAATGGCTTCTTGAAAACAGGAATACTCAAGCAAATCTATACATATATTGTCATCTTTGCCCATTTTCTCCAGGTGAGCAACCTGAAAAAGGTCCTGCAAAGTGTGGTTGAGTACTCCCAGGATGTGAGTATATCCTATAGGCTGAGTTTGCTGGTAGAATGACAGTATAATTGTTAATATTGCTGAGACATTAAATAAGCATATGCTTTCAAATGAAGAATTTCAGGTTATCTGTTTCAGTCACATTAAAGGCAATGTTAAAAAGTAACGGTTTGTAGCTTCAGTCTGCATCCCTTGTTTTGTATCCATAGATTTTGTTATTTAGCATTACTTCAGATATGTTGAATATGATGTTTCATTTTCTATGGATATACAGGTTTGTTGGTTTGTTTCCCATTTCGTACTCTGTTGAGACTCAAGATGGGCTTAAGATAGAGAGACCTGGGTTCAAACTCCTTCTTTTAGCATGCTGATCCAGGGTCATTTGATGTAGAGCAGGGGTGTCAAACTCGTGGCCCACAGGCCGAATGCGTCATGCTCTGGCCACGCCCATCCCCAGTTTAGCTAAGGGGAAAAACGTGATACATCATGTGACGTCACGAGTTTGACACCCCTGATATAGAGAGTTTATACAGGAATGAAAGTGGGAGGGATCGGGGAACAGATCATATATGTCAATCTGAGTTGTTGCTTGCAATATTTATTGGGCAAGTGGCTTTTTTAAAAAAAATCAATGTTCTTAAAGCATAATTTTCCAGCTTCTGCATACATTGCCCTCAGTTCTGTTTGACAATAATTGTGCTTCTAACAGGTAAACTAAGTTAAATAGATAGTGATAGCTGTAATGCTAGAATGCCCATGGGTGGCTAAGAGGTATTTTTACTGCTATCTACATATCCCTAAGGTGCTCGGCCACCAAGTCCCAGAGCAGCTGTTGCCTGATGTCGCCTTGGTTGGAGAGCTGTCTGATCCGGCAGAGCTTGGGAAATTACTACAGCTGGTACTAGGCTGTGCCATCAGCTGTGAGAAGAAGCAAGGTATGTATGTGCAATTTGATAGTACAAGGGAGGGGATAATAAGGTTGCATAGACATTTATGCTAGGAGAACATCTTAGCAGCGAGTACTTTAAATGGTGGTATGGAGAGGCTAGAAAGCAGCTGTCCAAAATGTGGTGTTGCTTTCCTATTTACAGTAAATTCTTAACTCGCTTGGAATTTCAATAGCACTAAGTTTAGAAGTTATAAATATGCTGATCCCTCTTCTCTCTTTTAGTTTTCTTTTTCCCTTTCTTCCCCCTCTGATTTCATAGGGAGGTCTCTTCCTTAAAATTGAGGCAAACTTATGCTAACATCTGATATTCTGCCCTACCCACTGCCCTTTCTAGCTCTGTTCTCTAATGTAATGCTGTTCGACTACCTAGCATCATGTTTCAAATAAAAGGGTGGTCTGGGGAGTTGAGTAAAGAAAGGAACTAACAAATTAGGTCTTATTTTGAGCCCCTAACTTAATCTATTTGTAGATTACATCCAGCAAATCATGACCTTGGAAGAATCTGTTCAGCATGTCGTTATGACAGCTATTCAAGAGGTAAGTATGGTTTTGGACTACCATTTGGCATGAAAATAACTCAGTCTGGAACTGGAAGCCTTCTTTTGACTACCCTTCATTGTCAAACCACAATCACACTACTTCCAAACCAGTGATTTCACCATAGTTTTAATTAAAATGAATAGTGTTCAGATGCCAGAATAGCCTTGGTCTTCTCCAGATTTACAAAGTCTCTTAGTTTTAATTTATGTCTGTTTAAAAATTATGTGTATATGTCATTAGATTCTACACTGATTCTCTTTTCTCTTGCAGCTGTTGACCAAAGATTCATCGGACACATTAAGTTCAGAGACATATGGGAACTTCGACAGTCAGGTATCCCAATGAATTATAAAACTGGGAGACTAATGAGAGCTCTGCCTTTTTCTGTGTGATGAGGTAGAGGAGGCAAAGCATGCATTGGACTGAGTTACTTGAGTGTGTTTATGATCATGCAGTTCTTCTCTGATTCATTCCTCTGCTTTGATTTGCAGTCCCGAAAGTATTACTTCCTCAGTGATGACCTAGAGGAGACAGATGACATGCGCCAACATTGTCATGATTTGGAGCATCAGGTAGGTTCCTTTGGAGGGATGTTATTAGATAAAACTTACGGTTCTACTTTTGCTTTCCAGATATAATTCCAAAATGTGCATCAGGTGCTTACAGTGAGGTGCCATTGATCTTCTGTAAATTGAGTAGTTCACAGTCTGACAGAATATCTCGAGGGCTTGCAGGGTATGCTAATTTAGCAGATCTTGTCCATACTTGGTGCATTGTGAGAATGATTACTGATGGCTTGGGAAAGTTATGATTAATATATCCCTAAACATGAGTTTTGGTACCTCCCCTGCTCTGGGGACTTGAGTGATTGGTTCTGCCTTGAAGAAAGTAAAATCTCTCCCCCCCTCCCAAGCCCCAGTTACGATCCTACATCTTGGGTTGATGTGCAAATGTTTTGTTAATCGTGTGGCTTGCTAAGCTGCATGGAACCAACTTGGTGTGGCTGCAGTGTGGTGGTGTATCCCTTCTCCTACCCTGCCCTCTTAGTGCTCAGCTGTTCTCTTTCTCCACTCTTTGTATAGAGAGCAAATCCAGCATGGAAGCTTTGAGGCTACCCTGAGTCTGGTAACTTTGTCAGGTGACCTGTAACACAGGTTTGTTACTATGTAACCAAATTCAGACATCACATTAAACCATAATTTGTTTAACAAGCCGTTGTGACCCGGTTCATTCAAAGTGCCGGTCCATAGACAATGGTAAGAGCCGTGGTAGCACAGTGGTTAGAGCACAGCTAGGAGTTCAATCCTGATCGGCTCAAGGTTGACTCAGCCTCCCATCCTTCCAAGGTTGGTAAAATTAGGAACCATCTTGTTGATGAGGGCAATATGCTGACTCTGTAAACCACCCAGAGAGTGCTGCAAAGCACTATGGGTCAGTATATATGTCTGCTATTGCTATACAATACAGAATGATTGGGTTTATAAAAACAAACTACGTTATGACACAGCGCAGTCTGAGACCACAGACTGTACCTCTTGCACTCATCCAATAGCATAAATAAATTCCATCTTCTGTAGATCTACACTGCAACACCTGCTGTAATTGAGAAGTTATTTGAATTATGCAACATGGAGCATAATAATGGGTGGTGAGGGATCTGAAAAAAGGATAGGTTGATCTCTCGCCCTTAAACCCCCTCCCACTTTACTCCTCCAAGGTGCTAAAGTGCCCCTGGGGATGCAGTCCCTTTCCAGAAGGTAAGTGCCTTCCCTTTCCCCGAGCTCTTGCTTACGATAATTGAAATGCTTACCCAACAGCAAAGCCCCATGCCTGGTGGGCCTGCCTAACCTCCTTGCATGAGCATGTACAATGCTGACCAGTTAACAGCTGCTTGGGATTGGCTTGGGAGGCATACAGAATCTGGGGTGTGTGTGACAGAGTAGATGTTTCTGACCTCATAACAGTTTAGTTTTGACCACACAATTGTTTCTTTAAACTTCAAACTTGCCTCTAAAGATTCTTGACATACTTCAGTTGAGAGAAAGTAATGATTGGAGCCTCTTCAGTCGGTAGTATTTAATCTTTGTAAAAGCCAAAGATTGTTGTCACAGGTAAATGGCTAGGTTTCATACTGCTGTTGCTTAGACAGAGGAAACACAACTTTTTAGCAAGATTTCACTGGATTTTCTGAAGGAGAAAACGGCCCTTCTTGCTTGCCTTGTACTATTGCTTACAATCTAGAAGTTCTACCGTGAATAATAGTAGTCTATCCAGAAGGTGATGCAAGAGGAATTGTGTTCTTTTGGGGTATGGGATAGATCTTGTGCATAGCACAGTTGTCTTTTGATCCTGTTTTATTACCAGCTGCAGGCTTTTCCAGTGCACACAATCCAAGAATGCAGAAGCCAGTAACTATCTATAGCTTCATGTATGGGTGTGACTAAGGAGAAGTTTGGCTTTTCCATTTTTGAGCCTGGGCAGAGAAGTAATAGCAAACTTCTCCTGCCTCTTTGTTTTCTAGTTTCCCTTATTGGAAGAGCTTGAATGGCTCAGATTTTGAGGGCTTTAAGTCCCCTTGGAGTTTAGCTGTAAACTTTGATGGCCACAGTATTAGACCTTTAAAACCTCATTGTTCTAAGTTGGTTGACACTTGCTCTCTTCCCCACCCTTAGATCTCCATTTTAATGGAGGAAAAAAACTTACTGGTGCTGGAGAACAAGACCCTTCGGGAGCAAAAGTGCTCTCTGGAGTCAGATGCTGCTGGACTCACTGGCAAGAAGTTGCTTTTGCTTCAGTCACAGATAGAACAGCTGCAAGAGGAGAATTTCCGGTAGGGCAGGTACTTGTGGGGAGGGATGGGAGGGGGAGTTGGTACTCTCTGCTAAACCACTAGGGCCCAGGAAACTAGGTTTGTTTAACTAGGTGTCTTTGGGCCAGGCTGGAAAATGGTAGAGATGATTTTCGAGTTCGTTGCGAAGATCTGGAGAAGGAGGTGCAGGAGCTGCAACACCGTAACGAGGAGCTGACTAGCCTGGCAGAGGAAGCACAATCCCTCAAAGATGAAATGGATGTACTTCGGTGAGTTTTTTGGCTATAAGACAGCAAAATATAATTTCTGTAGGTGTATAGGTGTAGGTCTGGGAAACAAGCCATGCTCTGGGGGTAGGTTGTAAGTCAAATCTGCACGTGCGTATTGGGTGCTACATATTTCTAGAATTTTCTGATTTTGGAAAATAAAAAACAGCTTGCTAATTTAAAAGGCATTTTGGAATTGCGTAAGAAATATATTGCAAACAAAAATCCAGATGCTTTGTGACCTATATGTGCCCTCAAACTGACAATGGCACTTGAAGCTCTGGAATATACAGTAGCAGTTTGGATTAGCTGTAACTTGAGTTTTAAGGAATTGCATATGGGAATATGGAATAAGGTTCTTGTATAGAATCCAGCTTAGGCTGACCTGTTAATGTATTTCTATCAGCATTTATTGTGGCTATATACTTTTCTAGGCTCCCTTCTCCCATGTTTGAATTTTAACTCGGCACAAAGTATGCCATAAAATATCTATTGCAAATCTTCTGTTCCAAATTCCAAGTTTTTTTTAAGCTCGGTTTTCAGATGATCTTGTGTAGAAATTTTTCCTTTAATTCTTAAAATACAGCATAGAAATTGGTTTTTCAGAGATTGTACATAAAATACATTTTTGTTAAATGCTGACTTTTGATCCATTCAGGCTTTGATTCCTATGCCTATAAATGCATTGTTTGGGTATCCTTTCAACCTAAAAGCCAAATTGGGAGCCAGAACATAGAAACATTAGGAATAATATGAATGAGACAATTGTTTCTTATTGTTATTGTTTCAGTCTGTGGTACATACCGACTTTGTGCAGCAATATCATTGCTTTACACTGATGCTTCCAGTAGCCAAAAGAGTTACTTTTCTGGATAAAAAGCAGGCAGTTAGATGAGAACTGAAACTGATTTGATATTAAAATATGTGAAAAGTATTACACTGCACTTTTTTTTTTCCTGCAGCCATTCGTCAGACAGGGTGGGACGGCTGGAGGCCATGGTAGATTCTTACAAAAAGAAACTGGAAGACCTGGGGGACCTGCGTCGGCAGGTCCGCCTGCTAGAAGAGCGAAACACAGTTTATATGCAGCGCACCTGTGAGCTGGAGGAAGAGCTGCGGCGGGCCAATGCTGTGCGTGCACAACTAGAAGCACATAAAAGACAGGTATGGTGGAAGAAGGTCCTGTTTGATTAACTGGAAGCCTTGGGTTGGTAAAGCCAGCAAGCTGCTATGGCAGGGCTGCTGAGAAGCGAAAATTGTTTTTTGGTTTTGTTTTGCGGAGAAGTCATTTGACTAGAACTAAACCAAGTACTGTATCTGTGCTGGGCCTTTAACTGTATCTTTGCTACTGTTTGGGGGACAGAACAGTTGTCACAATTGCAGCTTTATGATCAGTATAATTTTTGGCATGTGAAAGCATTTAACGCAGACATACGATTGGGAAGAATGGGCTGATCTCTGCAAAACGGAAAAGAAAGAGCAGAAAGCAGAAGAGACCCCCAAGCAGATCTCCATTCTTCTCCTACTCAGGTGCAAGAGCTCCACAGCAAACATGGAGAGGAAGCCTTGAAGGCAGAGAAATGGCAATTTGAATATAAGAATCTGAAGGAGAAATTTGAGGCGCTGGTAAAAGAAAAGGAGGTAATGCAGAATTGGTATTCAGGCTGGGTATTCCTGCCCTCGGCAGGGTGTGGCAAGGGTAGAGAAATCTGGAGGGAAGAGGTGCTTTGGCAGGCTGGTTCTGTTGCTTCATCAGGAAGTAATTAAGGGGCTGGTGTTTTGAATAGTTTTGAGGGGCGTATGATATTAAGTGTATTTCCACAGAGATTGATTGAAGAGCGGGAAGCCCTTCGGGAGGCTAATGAGGAACTGCGATGTGCTCAGGTGCAGCAGAAATTCCTAAACCAAGCAGGTGAGCTGGGAGAAAAACTTCCTCTGTTCTCTCAGAGGTCCTCCATATTACTCTGGGAGGGAAGCGGAGCTCTGATCTCTTGAACAGTTCCAAATCAAAGTAAAGGGAGGGAATCTGCCCTCACGTTGGCTTGATGTACCATATTTTTTGGAGTATAAGATGCACCTTAGTTTTTGGGGAGGAAATAAAAGCTGATTGACAGGTGGATTGGCCTCCCAGAATACCCCCAATCAGTTGTTCCCAGAGGTGAATTTTAGCAACAGGTTCCTTGGTTGTGAGCTCTGTGCCTTGCTTTTTTTTGCTTTTTTTTCTGCCTCTGAAACTTCTGAAACTCTGTTTCAGAAAAAACATTTTTTCCTGCCTCTGAAACAGACCTTCAGAAAAAAAGCCTCTGAAGCTCTGTTTGGGGGCTTCTTTTCTGAAGCTCTGTTTGGGGACTTCTTTTCTGAAGCTTCGTTTCTGATGCTTTTTTCAGCCTCTGAAACCTCCTTTGAGAAGCTGGGCAGGGCTACATTCGGAGTATAAGACGCATCCAGATTTTCACCCTCTTTTTTGGGGGGGAAAAGGTGTGTCTTATACTCTGAAAAATACGGTACATAATCAATAACTCATAAAATGGCTTGTTCAGTTTCAGCTTTGTTTTATGGATCAGCAATTGTGGTCTATAAACTATATAATTTAATGGTTTAGCATGTATGATTCAACCAGTAATGGTTTATTCAGTAAATTTAGTAAAGTGTAATCTATTTACTACGTCACTTAGGTATTCAAAGAGATAATCCTGTTGTATCTGCAGTGAACAAGATGGGATATTTACGCTAGGAGGTCTTGAGAATGAGATTTGCCCATCTCATGACATTAGTATTTAGGGGCATTTAGGGAAGTATGAACGAGTATGCTGGATCTGGTTACTGAATTAAGCCATTTTTTTCTGGATATGTGCAATATTGTAGCATCAATTAAGAGTCATGGTGGTGCAGTGGTTAGAATGCAGTACTGCAGGCTAAGTCACTGCTCACTCCAGAAGTTCAGTCCTGACCAGCTCAAGGTTGACTCAGCCTTCCATCTTTCCGAGGTTGGTAAAATGAGGACCCAGATTGTTGGGGGCAATATGCTGACTCTGTAAACAGCTTAGAGAGGTTTGTAGAGTACTAGGAAGCAGTACATAAGTCTAAGTGCTATTGCTATCAATTAACCAAACCAAAGGCTGAATTCACTAAACACCAAAAACAAGGTAGCTAACCAAGTTTTGCTATCATGCAAATGTGGCAATTTAGTTCTTTGAATGTTGCATTAGGTGACCAACTTAGTCATCCAAACTTAAGTAAACCTTTTCCCAACCTGTATTTCCTCCTCCTTGCCCATTCTGAGAAATACTATCTCCTACATTAGAGTGTTCTAGGCATTGTTATGCCATATAACTGCACCAATATAGATGTAGTATATGTTGATCAAATGTATAAGGTTGAACTTTTACCTGATAATTGACAATATTCCTTTTTTAAAAAAATAAAAATAACTAATGTTTGTTCCCTTCCTTATTTCAGATGCTATATTGGAAGACATTTCTTCTCCAATGGATAATTTAGCAGCTGAAATCATGCCAGCAGAATTAAAGTAAAATACTGGTTTTTTATTATATAAAGTGTGTGTGTGTATGTGTGAATGATTATGTAAAGTGTGTGTGTGTGTGTGTGTGTGTGTGTGTGTGTGTGTGAATGGTTATTTAGTCCAGTTTTGATGGTGATGGTTTTAATAATTATTATCAATGAGGATAATACTAAAATAAACTTTACCAAATTGGGGACCTTTTCTTTGAAATAAGGGCAAACACCTTCAGATCCTAGTGAGGATTAGAGTTTTAACATTATTAATTCATTATAATTGGCTTTTTCCGTCAGCCAAAGAGGTACATTACTAGTTCTAGAAGATTCACAGTAGGATGTATGCCAGATGAATTGAATTTATTCTTCCTGGTGCAGCGAATGAGGAGCAGATGCTCTCTGGCTTACTTTCCAACCTAGTACAAGTATTCCTTGTCTAGCGACCACAGTTGAAACCAGCAACTTTGTTGTTAAGTGAAGTAATCACTAAGTGAAATCCCTACTATGATTTTACTTCAGCTTTCCTTTACTTTACAGACCTGCCAAGGTTGTAAATGCAAGTATTGGTTGTAAAATTACTTTTTCACCACAGCTGTAAATGGTCCCTAAACAAGGCAGTCACTTAGTGAAGACTATGTGGTACCTGTTAATCCCAAGGATGTCATTAATTCCTTGGTCATCATTCATGGCCATCTGTCACAGTGTAAATTTTTGTTAATTCCTCATGCATTTAACAAAAAACAGGAAAAAAAAACAGAAAAAAAGCATTTAAATGCATTTTAAAAGGACTACAGTAATCTATTTTGTTTTCTGCTGTCATCAGGTCATGAGGAATTGAAAGCAGGTGAATCCTTGAAAGCAATAATCTGGAATAAGAGGGTTGAATATGGATTATACTGAAACAATTTCCCCCCAATGGGCCAGAATTCCAGATAAATCTGGTCTTCCTTCTTCAGTAATGCTGAAATTGGATTTTTTGTCCCCAGGGAGACCATCGTACGGCTACAGCACGAGAATAAGATGTTATGTGCTCAGGAGGTATCGTACCGACAGCAACAGGCTGAATTGCAAGGACTCCTGGAAGAATCAAACCGCAGTAAAAACCAGTTAGAGGCACAGCAAAGGTATGCAGGAGAGCTGGAAAATTTCTCATTTCCTGCAAGGAAATCTAATTTTTCTTATTTAATCCTGGACAGAGATTGAAGAAATTTTCATATTTTATTATTGGCAGAGAAGCCACCATGCCATGTAGGGCAGGGGTGTCAAACTCACCGCGTCATGGTGGCATCACGTGACGTATTGTGACTTTTTCCCCCTTCGCTAAACCGGGCATGGGTTTGGCCAGCACGTGACACATCCGGCCCAGGGGCCACGAGTTTGACAGCCCTGATAGAGGGGTTTCCATTGGGTATGTTAAGCTTCTCAAATTGGCAGTTTTAACATAGTGTTTGATGTTACTTTGTCCTGGTTAGTGTTTTGAAGCTCATTGATGTTGGCCTATTATTTCAATCCTGTGGCGCAACATTTTAGCTTTTATATTTAAATAAGGGTTGGGTGGTCTTAAGCTCAAGCATCCTGTGCCTGATGCAGTATGAAGATAATGTTAGTGGATTACCTTATAATTCTTACATTTTTAAATAGCAGTGGCAATTTTCTCTGTTTGCGTTGCAGCCACTCAGAAATGGAGAACAGCCTTGGCTATGTGTTTCTTTCATTCACCCCTCTCCCATCCATGTACCATAAACTCAAAAAGAATATACAGTTGGGAATTACAGAGAATTATAAGGCCTTATAATTCAAGATTTCAAAAGATTTCTTCTAAGCAATGGAGTAGTGCTTTTGTAACTTAAGAATATGAATGTTTATGATTGCAGACTAGATTGTAGAGAAACTATAGTCCTGAGTTGCACAGGGCTGCTTTGGCAGTTTTCTGTAGCTGGGAGAGGACTTGATCAGATCTCAGCAGTTTCAGAAACATCCATGAATCATAGAAGTTTGAAAGCTCCACTATTTTATGATAGTAAATTCTTCCTGAGTGAAAAGGGGCTTGGGCAATCTTCTGGTTGCACAAAACTGCCATTTTGAGGATTGGGAATTGGATGGAGCTTTTTTCAGATTTAACATTTAACCAGTTATAGGATCATTTGGGTTTCAGTCTCTTCTCATGATTTGTTTGGTTTTGGCTTACTATGTTGTACAAAGCGATTTGTTCAATATGGTATGATTAAGTGAGCCATGGCTTTGCATAATGTGTGAAGATTTCATCTGAATTTGATAAAAGTTATCTTGCTATTGGAAATGTAGTCATAGATGTACCTACTTAGGCCTAATGTATACAAGTAGGCTTCTTTCTGGAAAGTGAGCACAGAACCAAAAACTTAAATTGCAAAAGAAGATGGTTTTGAACAATCTGCTTTTACATTATTGGGCTTTCTCAGCGTGATATCTTGATTTCTCTGTCTAGGCTGAGCCAGCAACAAATCTCTGCACTTAAGGCTCAAGTGGACGAGCTCCAGCGTACCCTCCAAGAACAAGGAAGCAAAGCAGAAGATGTGAGTTTCTCTGAAAATGGGCTTAGAGCATCTTAAGTGAGCCTTGCAGAAGGCTGTTCAAGAAAAATATAATAGAAGCTGATATCCCATCCCCTCCCTGCTTCAGTGCTGAATTCCTTACAAAAATAGCAGCAATGGGATTGGCATCATCCACCTACCAGCTGTGTGGAGCTGTTTAAAAAAAAAGTGTATCCCATAATCCATCATCTAATTCTGGGTTGAATTTTGAATATAAGTTTGGGGATATTTATATTTCCTCTTTATCTCTGCCAGTTGCTTCAGAACAAATGGAAATCTAAATCTTAAAATTGTGGATGTTTTCCATGTGTGTGTTTTTTAAGTGGATGGCATAGTGTTTTTTCCTCCTAATTACATACAATAAGTGACATATTCAAGGCTGATTTATACAATTTTAAAGTTACTTAAACTATAGTTTAAAGTGGCCATGTTGGACAAAGAGTGCTATTTAGCTAGAATGATACATGCCTGGATATTGTGTTGATATCCTTGCTGTCCTTTTCCCATGTCTTGTCTTGAAATCCAGCATGATCCCTTAGGCAGATCTTTGTTTTTCGCCTGGGTCCCCACATACCCAACCCACTTTACTAATAGCCCTCTCTTTCTCCCCTCTGATTTGCTGGCTGTCCTGCCTAGGCCATTGTAAGTACTTGCATATTCTGTATTTGCTCCCATAATCTCTGCTTCATTCCTGAAATGCACTGTTTTTCTTCTGCCAGAGGGTTTTGTTTTGTTTGTTGTTGTTTTTTTGTGTGCCTTAACAAGGGTTAGTTATTTGGGTTTCCATACCAAGCACTTATACTGGCTACTTAGAGTTATTAGTGGCTTAATGTTTGGAATGGGATTATAAAGATATTTGGCTTGTTTGCTCCTTACACATCTTTGAACTCAGCCTAGTCTTCCTACACAATCATGGCATTATGAAGATGAAAGGAGACTCCAATAAGTGCTGCCTTGGGCTTCCAAGAGAAAGACAAAATCTGAATGTGCCGATTAATAAATGTAAATTAGTTGTTCCAGTTTTCACATTGATAATCTAAAAGGTACCAATATATTACTATATGTATTATAAGATATCTCTGAGGAGTTGCAGCTTCCCTTGCCCAGTCAGTAACTATTTCAGATATGTACAGGATTCTGCATTGAACAACAGAATATATTCACTCACATTGCAAATTCTGTCTTATCGGTTTTTGTACTGCCCCTTAGAGAATCTGGTGTCTGTGGAACTGAATGGAACTCTTCAGCTCTGTCTTCAGTAACATAACTGAATTCAGGAGCATCCCATCCTATCTTTTTAGTTTGGATCACAAATCTGTACTTACACTAGTCTCGCCAACATCCAGTCAAAGTAAAGCTTTTAAAGCAGTGAATATATACAACAGGTTTCCAAGACTTTTAGTGCTGAACACTATGAAAGTACATAGATATTAACATGTGATGCCATATATGCTGATGATAGCACTACTCCTTCTAATGGGCAATGAGAAAATGGTAAATTGTTCCAGTCTAAATTGTTCTCAGCATGAACACAAATCTAAGCACTCATTCCCTTTTTTTCTCTCTAGTCTTCCCTATTGCAGAAGAAACTGGAAGAGCACCTGTAAGTGATTCTATTCATGTTTTAAGGTGGGGTTGGAAAAAGAATTCTATATAAAGCTTGCTGTAGTACATAGAAGGACTGTAGTAAAGCCTCTAGGAGTAGTTTGAGTCCTATTGGTTGTAATACATTTCCAAACCAGAGTCTTTGACCTGCTGACTGTTATTCTCAAAACCAGTTGTGTAACAAATTCCCATTTGTTTCATCATGTAACCAGAGAAAAATTGCATGAGGCCCATGCAGAGCTTCAGAAGAAGAAGGAGTGCATTGATGAGCTAGAACCCAAAGTAGACAACAGCAGTAAGTGACTGAAAGTTGGTCCTATTGTTTTAAATTCAGAAAAGTTTGGCTTAATCTTTCTTGACAATGGAATGAGAAGAGGTGCTCTGTAACCAGGATGAAATTCTCAGCTGAGATACCCAGGGACTCTGAAGGTCCTGAGATTTGGAACAAAATGTCTTTCTTCCCTACCTCACCACAAACTTCCAAACTGGAAACAATAGATAATCGCATCTCTTCTCCTTTCCAACAGCTGCCAGGAAAATTGATGAACTTCAGCAGACATTGAAGAAAAAGGATGAAGATATGAGAGCTATGGAGGAGCGGTATAAACGCTACATGGATAAAGCCTGCACAGTAAGCAAGGTTTTTGTACTTGCCCTGTACATATGAACACAATAAACACTGTGTTTATTAAATCTCGTGGACTTGTTGGCTTCATCTCTATTGCCAAAGCAAGATATATTGCTTAGCACATTGTAAGCCGCCCTGAATCTCCGGAGAAGGGCAGCATATAAATCAAATTTTAAAAAAAGAAGAAAAAGAAGATATATTTCAGTTAAGATTTGTTGAAGTCATAAGAGGCTGTCTTTTAGTTAAGCAAAATAGTTATGAATTGTCTGACTAATTCTTCGTTTGTTTATCTCCTGTTTCTTTTGTCATTATCTTAGTGTGGTATCCCCTATGTCCTAAGAGCAGTAAAGGACCATTTAGTCTGTAGAGGTTTTTTTGAAGGCATTTGGGAGTTTTTAGCTCTTTTACCTGTGTGCATTTTTCTGAGGGGGAAATGAGATTTCTCCATTTGTCTTGTACTCATTAAAGAGTTAAGGAGAATTATATGATTGCTAGGGATAGGGAGAAAAAGTAAGAAAATGCAGTAGAGTGCTCTATTTTCAGGCTGCTCTGGTCTTGCACGTCCGTGAGTTAGAAAAAAGCTTGGAGAAGTAATAGTATATATAAGATTCTAAGTCAAAAAAAAACAAAAACTAATAATCATGATTTAGCACATATGTGAACCAGGCCAATAACTTTGTGAATATGCTGTTTGGTAATGAGGGTGATTCAAATCAAGAATATTGTTTCTGAGCTTTTCTAGTATCTACTACTCCACGTTCTCAGAGGTTTAGTAATGATGGCAGAGGCTTCATTTCTTCCACAGGTCATCAAGAAGCTAGACCCCAAGCAACAGCCTCACGTAGTTCCTTTGGAGATTCAGGCATTGAAAAATCAGCTGCAAGAAAAAGATAAGAAAATAAGCCACCTAGAGGTGAGGCCCTCTTCCTTTGTTAAGGACAGGGTAAGCAACTTTTCCTTGGCTGGGGCTCCATTTAAATATTTTTTGATGGGTGGTGTGATGGATGATATAAAATCAGTGGGACCAGGATTTACTGAGATTGTTTCCTAGATTTGAGAGAAAGTTAGGGAGGAGTCTTTAATTTTTTCAAGCTACATCATACTTGCTGATATGTAGTTCAGTGGTGTGAAGTAGTTCACACTACTTTTTACTGATTTTTCTTGAAATTGGAAGCCGGCTATATAACTAGTTTTCTGGAAGTGTGGTAAATGATGGCCTCAGATATCACAAAGGAAGGACTTGAGGGCTTGTGCCTTCTGGCTTCAGGTTGCCAGCTCTGATTAATGATAATAATTGCAGCCTTCCTTATGCGTTCACTAGATTCATATTTTGCACTAAATGTTAATATTTTTTCAGGCTTGGCTTAGTATGGGTGTCGGTAACCTGCGACTCCCAAGCCTCATGTGGCTCTTTGAGCCCTCTCCTGTGCCTCCCTGCCAACCCAGTCGCTTGACATGCTCTTCTCCCCGAGACACTGGCCCAACCCGTCCGTGGCTGACGCCAGCCACGAGGGCTGACACGCCAACCTGACGGCTGGCAGGGTGGGAATGGGATCTGGGAAGAGGGTACGATGGAAAGGGAGACAGATTTGCAGCTGAGGAGTGAGCATGAGCCACTGCAGCGGCTTCACCGAAGACAACCCTCCTCCTTCTCCTCACGCGGCCCCCTGGCCGGCTGTTATGGGGCTGGGAGGGCGCGCACGAGCGGGGATACCCTCCTCAAGCAAGCAGCTTTTTCTGGCAAGCTTCTTTTTTTTTTTTAATTGGCAGACTAGGAATCTGCAGCAAAACTGAAGAAAAGTGCTTTCCATCTCATCCATTTTAAGACTCACTGGTCTTAAAATACCAGCTAGAATTATACAGTTATGTCTTAGTATATCAACAGCTTAGTATATATACTATATACTAAGGACTTCTTCTTTAGAAACTAGTTGGACCAGGCCAAATAGCACTGTCTGGAATGATCAAGCTATTTTGATGAAGACTTTTTAAAATGCTGGCAAGAATCTGACAAAAACGCTGCTAACATTCTGTTGATAAATCAGGGTTTGGTTTGGTTTATTTGCTTTCTCAAATTTAATTGTGCTCAGGAATAAATTTAGGTTGATCAGAGTTTTTGATCGATGGGATTTTTGGAAAGCATCCTGAACAGCTCACATTCTATGAGGCAATCACCAATCTCAAATGTTGGGACTGCCTCCCCCAACACATACACACTTGTGATCAGCAGCGCATGTGGAGCGTATAATCCCTTCTCAGTCTGCTTTACTGGTTCTTTTGTTTTTTTTCTCTGTTTCTCATGGATTTTTTTTTCTCCTCCCCATCCTGCTGTTTTCAGAAGCCCACTTTGCATTATAACCATCCTTCTGTTGTCTTGTATAATTTTTCCCAATCATCTTTTTTGTGAGGGATTGTTTTTATTTCCTTTTCTCCCCTTCCTGAATTGGGCTTGGTAGAATATTGTGAGAGAAAGTAACTACTGAAACTGAAGGCCAAAGTTGTGCTTTAAAGCAGGATTTTTCAAACTATCTTCCTTTGGAACCCTAAGTTGCTTCAAAAATTTGAGGGTTGCATGCGAGACTAAGGGCAAAAAGAAATTCATTTGAATGCAGTCAATTTTCTATCATTTTCCTTTTGATCAGGGGTTTGGGGAATTATTTTTTAACTGATTAAAAAACATTATTTTTTAACTGATTAAAAAATAAGTTTGAAAACCCTGCTTTGAAGGGAGTCTTCTTAAAATTGAAGATCTAATGGAATTGAATCCCTCTGCAGTTGCTGAAGGAGGAGAGGTATGTAGGTGCCCTTCATCTTGGGAGTCTCACTTGATTGTACCAGAGTTAAAAGTATTTCGATCTGTTTAGGGCACACCGTTTGGGAAAGTGTTTCATAACATTTGAAGGATTTATTTTTTAAAAAGTTTATCTATAATGTTCCCAGCTGCCCTGACATTCTTTGGTATGGAAGGGATTGTATTCTGTTCTCTTTCTCTTTCTCTCATTGGATTAGTCTGATTTTGAGAAGACAAAATCTCAGCAGGAGCAAGAAGAAAAACTCATCATCACTGCCTGGTATAATATGGTGAGTTTGACCTGTGTTTGAGAAACAGCAAGAGCCTGAATGATATCTAGTATCAGCATCAGACACAAAACAGTCACTGCATAGAAGCAGTTTATCCTGGCTATAGATGGAAGCTCGTATTTTCATTGATACCCAGTTTACTATCCCAGAATTTTTAGTGATCTTCTGGCCAATCCAGAGTTTGCTCTTGATGAAACTGTAAAGGAAGAGAGCCTTTTGACGCTGGGGGGGCATGCAGGGTATTATTAACTTGAAAGAGAACAATACATTTAGTAAGATCAAGAGTTCTCCTAACCTCTTGATATTTCTAATAGTGTAAATTCTATGGTATATAGATGCGAGGGGTGGGGGGACGGGACGGGGTGGAGGGAGCAAAGAAATGACAGTGTTAGTTTGCAAGCAATAGGCAATTCTGAGAGACGAATCTTAAAATCAAAGGGAACTTGTATGATTTTCCATTTTGGGGATTTGAGCTTATGTGAAAATAAGTTTGTTTTTCTTGGTGTAAAATGAGGACTCAGATTGTTGGGGTCAATCTGCTAACTCTATAAACTGCTTAGAGAGGGCTATAAAGCACTGTGAGGTGGTATCTAAATCTAAGTACTATCGCTATTGCTATTTAACATAGATACCATGTGAATACTTAACATTTAATCAGCCCTTCTGCAGTGTAAAGGGCTTAGACATTATTACATGCTGATTCAGGTCTAGCTTTCAGCAGCATGAATATTATTAAACATCTGGGCTATTTGATGTAATTAACATTTTCTTCAATTCAAAAGAATATTAGAGAATTGTTACCTAGATGTCTGACAGTGCAAGTCAATTCTTTTCCCCTGTTACAGGGCCTAACACTTCACCAACGAGCTACAGAAAAGCGATCGTCCAATCCTCCAACAGTCCAATCCTTTTTGGCCCAACAAAGATTGGCCACCAATACTCGTCGGGGTCACCTGAGCCGAACTCAGCCCTTGTTGCTTTGATACAGAGGAGTCGTCTTACGGATTGTGATCTGGAAAAACTGTTCAGTGCATGTGTGCTTTGAGTTTAGCTGAAAGGGAGGGTTCAGTTTGAGCTCTTACTCTGTGCAGTGGTGTTTGTTTGGGAATTCCAGCCTCTGTCCGTATTGCTGAAAGTAATTTCCTGCTGCTCAAGAGTCCTCCTTCACTGAGCTTTTGCCTCTAAAACCAGATGAATGTGGCATGGGGCAGCCAAAGATTGACTTTTCTCCAGCAAACCTAAACTTACCTGACTTTTCTTTCACTACACACTGCTGGGAGCTGTTGAAAAACAAGTCTCCTAGAGAAGTGCTCTTCACCACTACTTGGTCACTACTCCTTGCATGTTACACGACACGTGGCATTTGTATAGCCTTTTAAGTGTGCCATGTTAAAAGCTTATTTCATGCTGCAGGGAGGATATTTTAAATTTCTGGTAGATTGGATCTCTTTTGCTACAATGAGAATACAGGCCCATCTTGAGAATTGAATGTACAAGGGTGAGGTAATAGCTCTGAATGTGGACTTTTGATTAAGGCTTGAGCCCTATGACAACTAGTAACAGCTTCCCCTTCCATTGTGGCAGCACCTAAAGCTCCTCAGACATAGCTTTGCTTAATGGTTACCTTCCAAGAAGGGATTAGTGCAGAAAAAAAACAAGTTGAATCTCTATAAATACTACCTAGGTACAGACTTAAAGAAAAGGGAAAGCTTGCAGTCCTGCCCATGAACCATTTGAGTGTATTCCTATAACTATACTGTTTTCACAGCAATATTTAGAGTCTGGTGCTTTTTCTTAACAAAAAAAACCTCTTGTTTTATTCTGTTAGTATGCCTTGTCTAATTTTGGATCACCCTTCCATCCTGGAAGTTGTAAGAAACTGTTTCCTTTTAAAATATGTTCTTCAAACTTTGTTTTTATTTTTTAGTAAATATAGGTTTACTGCTGTAAATTATACATTTTGTAAAGCAATTTGTTCATCTAGGCAGGTCTCTGCCTCTTTATTTTTCTATTGGACAGAAACCTGGCATGCAGTGATGCGGGGGTGGGGGGGTATGTCTGTAGAATCTTTTCATTACAAATAAAGGCTCTAAAATATTCTTTGTCATATTATTCCTCTAGTAGTGCTGACGTTCCAAAGGCTAACTACTTATATCGGTGGCATAGTGGTTAGAGTGCAGTACTGCAGGCTACTTCTGCCGGCTGCCTGCAATTTGGCAGATCAAATCTCACCAGACTCAAGGTTGACTCAGCCTTCCAACCTTCCGAGGTGGGTAAAATGAGGAGCCAGATTGTTGGAAGCAATAAGCTGACTCTGTAAACCGCTTAGAGAGGGCTGTAAAGCACTGTGAAGCGGTATATAAATCTAAGTGCTAGTGCTAAATCAGTGGTAAAATGCACTTAACTTACCTTCGCTACTGGATCACAAATGTGAGTGTGTGCGCCTCCACACATGCACAGAGCCTTCTGTGCATGCACAGAGGGTAAAAAACAGGACGTGATGACGTCTGGGCGGATGGCCGGAGCCTCCCATCGCCAGCCCTATTAGATCGCACGAGCCAGATAGATCGGCTGGATTTCACCGCTGTGCTAAGTGCTATCATGCCTTAGGCATTATTTTAAAATTAAACTATTGTCTTCCTATGTAAAATAAACAAATGGTATATATTCCTTTGGTCTGCAAAGGGCATCTTTGGGGGAGGGGAACCTGAATTTTAGGATCTAAGGTCATGTATTAACATCATATACATTCCAAGTTAGGACCCTTTTTTTCTTTTTATTGCCATTTACACAACCATTATTGCTGCCACATAGTCACTAGTATTTTTTTGTTCTGAGCATAGTATTTTCAACTGAGAAGCAACCAGAAAAATCTCTTAAGGAACTTCATGAACTATTTTTAGAAGCAGCGTGGCTTTCCAAGGCATCCAGTGTTATAAAATAACCACCTCTCAACATTAACTCAGTTAAGAGAATGCTAATTCTCTTCATAAGGAGAATTACCATAAAATCATAACAGTAGTACTTCTTACTGCAGAATATTTGACTTAAATATTGGATAGAGCAGAGTTATCCAAATGTTCTAGTTTTCCACCCAGCAGCAGAGAAGGGACAGTTCAGAGTGAATGATGGGCAAGTGTGCGCACACAGCTCCATTTGCATGAGAAGTGGACATGCACACCCGCTGCTTGCACAACTGAAGATATATCCTCTCACCCACCACTTCTGCGGCCTGGTTCAATCAATTTTTATTTTATTTGCTATTCCAGTGTTTAGGCATGATCAAGCTGTATATTTAATTCAACATTTATCTCTTCAAGAAACAATGCTAGATCTGTGAAAATAGGAAAAGCACCTAAGCTTGATGAGTATTCTTATACTTGTGAATAAGGCAGGGGTGAAATCCAGCAGGTTCTGACAGGTTCTGGAGAACCAGTAGCGGAAATTTTGAGTAGTTTGGAGAACCGGCAAATACCACCTCTGGCTGGCCCCAGAGTGGGGTGGGGAATGGAGATTTTGTAATATCCTTCCCCCAGGAGTGGGGAGGGAATGGGGATTTTGCAGTATCCTTCCCCTGCCATGCCCACCAGGCAACGCCCACAGAACCGGTAGTAAGTAGTAACCAGTAGTACTGGAATAAGGCCTCTATTGACAATTGTATTGCACCAGGACTACTAGAGCAGCAACTGGGCCGCACAAACAAGTGACGCCCCATCCACGGGATGCAGGCAGCATACTAAACCACACACCCCTCAAATCCGTGGAAAAACTTTATCCACAGAACCAGTCACTAGTCCCTGGGCCACTGTAGTAGAGGTTTATAATGAGACCTTTTAAAGTCTAGTTTTCCTGCCGTCTCCTGTAAGTTTTATGTAAACCTTATAAAGGCTAGTAGAGACCCTAATTATGCAGGTTATTACCTGATGCTAAAGTAATGAAAGTGCCTCTGGCATGAACAATACAAACACTGCATCCCTGCCATTCTTCCTGTACTTTCCAGAGGCCGGAATAATATTAAAAAATGACAACCATTTGGCAGAATGAAGTTACTCACTACTTCGTTAAAGGTGCAAGGAATGACGGTAAGATTTAAAGTATTCAAAACTCTCAATGTTTTACAAACATTTACAAATATTTAATAAAACATAAAAGCATAAGCTTTAAATCAATTGACTGTATATACTTGTGAAAGAAAAAGGTGCCATACAATTCATTTACACCTCTTGGCTTTTTCCTTCTTAGTTCATATTGAGGAGAAAAATAAGAATGATTTCAGCAACACTGCAAAGCAGTATGATACTCGTATCTACTCTATGTTCGTATGTAATCTATGAAGTTAAAAGCAAGGTTTAAAACTAGCATGTTCTTTGGTAGGAACACAGTATTTGCAATAGCAATAGCAATAGCATTTAGACTTATATACTGCTTCCTAGTGCTTTTACAGCCCTGTTTAAGCGGTTTACAGAGTCAGCGTATTGCCCCCAACAATCTGGGTCCTCATTTTACCCACCTCGGAAGGATGGAAGGCTGAGTCAACCTTGAGCCTGGTTAGATTCAATCTGCCAAACTGCAACTAGCAGTCAACTGAAGTAGCCTGCAGTACTGCATTCTAACTACTGCGCCACCTTGGCTCTTCTTAATGAAATTAAGAGCGTCTGCACAACATCTCTTAAAATTCCCCCAAGTCCCTGCTACAAAGGTGGTTTTTATAAAAGTGTGTTCAGTTCTGCTGGTCCCTCCTTTCAGGGCCTTCTTCCAATAAGATTGCCATAACAAGATGTCCCAGGGAGTAAGTCCATCTCACCTGTGCATACCCAATAACTGACTCATGGCGTATTTTCCTCCTCAATGGGGCTCTGCAGCCATGGGGGATAGCTGACCCCTTTGCTTGGCACCTCCTTTGGGTTGTGAAGGAAGGAAGTGTCTGAAGAGTCATGTTCTAGGAGAGGCCAGGACAAAACATTTGTATTAACTGATGTATCCACAAGAGGCTCTGGATCATGGGGGGCAGCTGTAACATTTTCCTGGTCCAACGTGCTCTGAGGAAGTTCACCCAGCTCAACAATGTGAGACTCAGGAAGAACGCTGTATGCTTCCTTTCCTGGGCTGCTGGTATCGTGGCCAGAGTCTCCTGCCCCTTCAGGGATGAAAGGAATGCTGTTACTGCGCATCTGCTGACTGGCAGGTGGGGTACACATGCAGTCAATGGCCTGCATGTCCTGACAAAGGCAGCTGTAGGTGGTTGATGGTTCTGAAACACAGCTGTTCTTGCGCTTCAGCAGAGAGAGACGGCGTCCAAAACCTCCTGAGGTAGGAGCTGTAGACAGCAGTCGGTTCAAGAGGTGGGCAGGCACATGGCGGCTCTGTTCAAGGCCCTCGGCAATCTCCTCCAGAGGCTGGAACTGCATATCCTCTTTGGCCAGTCTGGAAAGCGAGGACAAGCGGTTGAAAGAATTTGCACCACCATTTTGCACTATCCGTAGATACTTCCATTACTAGAAAGTGACAGGGCTTCCCTCAAGTGGGAAATGCACAGTCATCATGCTTGTACAATTACAGTCTCACCAATGGGGAGCTTCACACACACTGGGAAAAGATTGTTGATCAATCCCAAATGAGGAAAACCTAAAAGATTCATTCCCTTGTGATCCCCCTTGTGTCTTCACCAGTTAATCATTTTTTATTATTATTATTATTATTATTATTATTATTATTATTATTATTATTACTACTACTACTACTACTACTACTACTACTACTACTACTACTAATTTTTGCACCGCACAAAGAATAAAGAAATCCTTACGTCACATCAAAAGTGGAGCCTTGGAATGACGGCTGTTGCAACAGAAAAACTGTAGCTGCCGTATAGGGGGCTCGTGGGTTTGAGGCATCCCAATATCTATCCTTCTCCAGGAGAGGCAGATCTCCATACATTTCATCCACAGCCATCATGGAGACCTTCAGAAGAAAACAGAAGGTGAAGAATCCCTTTTGCAGGCAGACAATACTGGTTGCAGGCAGACAATACTGGTGTTTGCCTGTCTGTTTGTCAATATGTATGTAGGATATCTATATTGGGGTAGGGAGGGATGAGAATCTCAGCTGTTGGGCAGGGGACAGGTTTACAACTATTGTATCATGGAAAAATTCATCTTGATTGAAAACTGCTTTGCTGTTGTGGCTTGCCAGACAGATTTGGACAGTGAGAGGTTGGGGAGGAACACGGACCAGTCCTGGAGTCTGGGAAAGGCTCTGATGAGGGCTATGCATGGGAGGCAGAGAGGGGGCCAGGGCCGGATGCCAGTTATCAGCTGCCTTCAGAGTCAGACATCAGTGAGGCAGACAAACAGTTGGACCCTTTTCCCAGTGTGCGCATGCACAGAGTTGCCAGACGAAGAGAACAGCTAAAGAACAAGGGTCAACTTGGGAGTAAGGCCATGGGTGGATGATGAATGGCCCCTCCCAGAGGAATAAAAGGAGAGAAAGGGGAGTGGCGTTTGCACGAGACAATTAGTTCACTTAATTGGTTTGTGACTCTCCGTGACTCCTTGCCAAGTTTTGAAGATATCTGCCTGGCAGCTCTCTAAGCCAGATAAGATCTGTGACTGTAAATTCTCCCTTGAAAGACTTTGCTGAAAGTGAATGAGAGGAAATCACTTGTTTGTTTAATAAAAGGGGTTTTGCTGGAATCAGGTTCTGCTTCGTGATTTTTGGGGAAGCCTAAGTCAGAACATTTGCCGATCCTTAGCAAAAGAGGAGAGAGAGGTTGGGGGTTACCTGGAAGTTCCTATCGATCAATAAATTGGTTTCAAAGTCATCATCATCCTCTCCAAAAGGGTTGATGAGTTGCTCAGCCACCTGCAAAGATCCACAATGAGGAAAGATAGCTCCTTAGTCTGTCTCTTGTACAGAGCCTCCCAATCTTCTGCCAAGTATACAAATAGATGGAGGAAGAAAGCTAAATCTCTTTTTCCTCTGCCCCAAATCGGATTCCCTGGCCTAGCCCTGAGCAATTCTTTACATCAGCTTTCCAAGATAAGGGATTCCAGTCATTCCCTCCTAAGATTAGCATTAGCCATATTGGCTCTCAATACAGTAATTAATAGTGAAAGGACTGGTTGGGAGCTACAGTAGTTGAAGATAATGCGAACTTTTGTCCCAAAGGAGCTTTTTCCAAAAGGCAACTGGACTTTATTTTTTTTACTTTCACTTCTCATCCACGAAGCATCCAAGAATTGAAGAAGCTTCTTGGATGAGAAACCAAATGTTTTCCAAAAAAAAAAACCCCAAACCCAAGAAAGTCCAATTGCTTTTTGGAAAAAAGCACCTTTGGGACAACCATGACCTGGATGATTGAGAATCTCCTTAGACAAAAACTCCCGTTCGACACATCTGGGCAAGATCTGCTTGAGGAAAGTGATGTAGGAAATGCTCCAGCAGCCACTGCAAATTAACCAGCTCCATTCTGCCCTACCTTGAGCCATCCAAAGTAGAAGAAAAACTGAAGCAGGGTGAAAACAGGAATCCACAGGTCTAGGTCATGTCCTTCATAACCTTGGGCTGGATCGAGGAACTGCCTTCCAATTAGACAAGAAAAGAAGAAGCTGTATACAGCTATGGTAACCACCTATCAGAGCAAAAGAGAAAAGGAAAATGAAAAGGTGGAGAGCTACTTTGCTCAGATTAAAGGGTTTTTTTATTATAATAATTACTTAGGATGCAATTTAGAGTACAGCTTGCTTAATTAGGACTGCTAAGAAATAGACAATATTTTCAGTCTCTTTTTAGGTCAATGTTAATAGAAGAAATTATGATGGTTCTAATTTTCAGATTATACATTTAATTCCATGATAATTTAAAAACCCTAAGATAATTTACTATTCCCTATTTAGTTTCCAGTGGAAATTAGGTCTACATCTCATGTAACACTGAAAAATAGAACAGTAAAAGTTTTTTCCCGCTTGTTATTCACCAATAATGTACGCAGAAAGGCACTGATAACTAACTTAAGTATCATTAATTGCTTTTATATCATCCTGAGTACATTTTGTAAGGCAGGGATTGCAAATAAACAGTTAAAGTACGGCTATTCTAAAGTAAACTAAATATCCTGGTTTACTAGGTTATAAAGGACAGTATTGTAACTCTGTAGATAAGATGTTAGGTTGCTGGGTGTAATTGCTGCCAGTAGGCAGACCAAAATTAAGTGTCTCAATAAACATACCAGAGAGAGAACTGTCAGCCCTAAGGGAACCTCTGCTCTGCTAGAGTTATTGTGCACCCAAGTACTCTGACAGACAGTATATATTGTCCATAGAATTCATGACAAGCTTGTTGTTTCACATCTTAAAGTATGAGAGTTTTAAAGTGTTCTAAATGTACCAGCTCTGCTCTACGGCCAATTTTAGTTGTGGCTTTAGTGGCTTGCTGGTTTTAGACTTTGTATACTATCTTTCAAGACAAAAGCTTACTAAGGCAGTTACATCAAATAAAATAAAAATAAAAATATACTACATTACATATGCAATCATTGTGTCAATAACCCACAATTCAAAATTGACTGAACTTAAAGTGCTCAATATTTAAAATCACAGCAACATACTAATTATGCTTGAAATAATGGTAATGATTTTGACTACCCAAGAATAAGCTTGGGTATTTGAACTAATAAAATCAAGGCCAGAATTGAAAATTTGTCAGAATGATTCAACATAAGAAGAAAAAACAGTGGATCATATACTCAGCTCATACAAGATCACACAAATTGATTATAAATACAACATAACATATTCATGAAAATGATTCATGGAGCTTCTATAAAAATTACCATGTACCAATAATGAAAAATTGGTGGGAACATAGAGTTGAAAATGTAATAAAAATGGGCAGGTTAAAATATTGTGAGATTTCCAAATACAGAGTCTTGGCTCATAACACACCAGATATAACTGGTTGAAAAGAAGAAAAGAATGTGTGGATAACTGTTGAAGCAATACCAAGGGATAGTAGAATAGAAGACAAAGAAACAAGATTTGAAAATTAAAATTGAAACTGACTTTGATGGTCCCAGTGATTATCAGCACACAACCACCCTAGTGATTATCAGCATACCAAAAAATCTTGGACGGCACTTAGAAAATGTGTGTGTTGACAACATTTCCATTAGTCAATTGAAAAAGACCACACTGCTTGGATCCATATATATATTACATAATATACTACAAGATCCTAGATTTTTGGGGAGACCTCAATGCATATGAAAGTCAACACAGCTAAAGAACCAGCAGCTATGATTTGACATTGATATGAACATATAATAATAATTTAAACAATAATGTATGTGTTAAAAGGGTCCTTGCAGGTCATTCGTTCATCCCTCTGTTGCAACCAAGAAATTCTCACCCAGGCATTCTCTTCATTCATTCATTCATTCATTCATTCCTCTGTTCCAACCAGGATTCCCCCAATTCTCCTCTCTCAAGCTCCCCTTGAGCTTCTCTTTTACAAGCTCACTATTCCTGGCTCCAGTAACTGTTGTTCATGGGACTTGCTTTCTAGACATTTTATCATTCAGGTAACTTTCCTCTGAATATGCTCCAACTTATCCGTATCCCTTTTAAAATACAGTATCAGCTCTTAACACAGAACTCCAAATGCAGTCTAAGCAGCACACAATACCAGGGAACTGTTATTTCCTATGATTTGGGCACAGCACATTGTTTTTTTAGCTGCTACATAAAAGTTACTGGTCATGTTCAAACATTGGGGTACTCTTATAGCTAAATTCTTCTTTTGTGCACAGCTGTCAATTTGAGTTTCCCCAGTCTTATATCCATGATATAGTTTTCATTACCCTAATTAACACAGTTGTACATTACCCTGTTGAGGTCATTTTTGTGATTTTGTACTCTTAAGATATTAGCCAATTGTTTTAGCTTGGTGTCATTTGCAAAATTTACAAGCATCCTTTCCATCCTATTCTTCAGATCACATTTTTGAATAGAACTGAGCTGATGACAGAGTTCTGGGGATGCCCCTTAATACTTCCCTTCAGAATGACACAGAATCATTCACAAACGCTATTTGGTATAGCTGTCAGTCAGTTAAACCTCAATGCTGTGTACAAATATATTTGTGTGGAACAGAATTCTATAGCGATTCCATCTCTGTTGTTCATTAATCTGATAGTAAGCTTTGATAGTATACATTGCCGAAGATACTGATACTGTTTTCCCAGATATAGACTACAACTCCCAGAATTCGCAATCAATGATCATATATATTGGGAATTCTCAACATTCTGGTCCCAATATATCATGGGACCATTAGAAAGAGGGAGTAGAAGAATTATTTTTTTGCCATCTACTGATTTTCTCGTAAAAATGCAATCCTTTGCATTTATAAGAATGTTCTTTCAAACTGCTCTCTGAAACCTGGACAAATAACCGGTTGCATAGGGCACAGATGTGCGATAGTCTAGAGAGCCACAAAACAGAATTGTTAGATGTAAGAGTTGATAAACTTCCCCGTCACCAGTTTTCTCTTAAATCTGGTCATAATCCTTTAATCTGTTCTAAACAAGAGAAAAAGGACACACAAACCAGAAAAGCCAACAATAGGATATGCTTAAACATTCACCAGTGAAATAACATTTGTGTACTCAGAGTCCGACAGCTTACCTGAGTGTATACTAATGGTACACTGATCCAGTCATAGTGGTAAAGCATGCTGCAGTTGCCACGAAAATGATTCAGTTCCTGGAGGGAAAATTCAATCATCACTGCTTGTGTGAGGCGTGAGAACTTTCTACAACTACATATAGCTTTCTACAATGCCTTCAGGTATATGTATAGCTTTACTCAAATCAATAAGTGAAAGTGACTTTTTTCTGGATTGAGGCAGAGAAATGTGATTTTGCTGATTCTCCTGGACTTCTCAGTGACTTCTGATAAAAATTGGCCATATATAGTATCTTCCTCTTGGACATTTGGTGCTTCAGTAGTTGCATCAGCTAGCTCTGGAAAGTAGTGTTAAGGTACTGTTCAGTAGTCTTATGGTAGATACATTGTAGATGTTGGGAAATTGCCAGCTAGGCTGGAAGGAGAGGTCAAGAGAGGACCTAGCTTTGTCAAATGCTTATTTGGATATTTATATGGGTATAAATGAATTATATTCATAGCACTATCACAATCCAATGAGGAAGATGTAATAAAATTAAATATTACAGGAGTAACTTTAACAAATCCATAATTTCTGCTGATTAGCGCATTGTTTTCAAGGTTTTTACAAAGTTACCTTTTTATAATCTACTCTATAGTTTTCCCAAGTACTAAGATTATACAGCTTTAGAATTTACAGCCTTCCTAGCTTTTGGTTCATTTAAAAACCTAATTGGAACCTGGATACAAAATCAAATGTTTTTTCCACACGAACCTTTATATTTTACTTTGGATATCACTCTCCCCATCTGAGACAAAACAAATGATGGCTAGGATGAGAGGTGGTGATGATGGCTCAATGATGGGTATTAATGCATCTCAAAGAAAAGCTCTCCTGACCCTGTTTTGCAACATTAAATCGATAGAACAGAAGCAGACATCCTGGTCCTCTCTAGATGTTTTTGGACTACAATTCCAACAATTCCTTGTTGCTGGCCATCTTGAAAGGAACTGATGCGATCCTTCTAAAATGCCAGGTCTCTACTGTAATAGAAGAATTTTAAGCATTATGGATGGCTGAGAAGGTGCTCAGAAATGTTGGAACACCAGAAACTAGAAGTTTCTGGGAAGTGGAAATAACTATTAAACCAGGGGTGAAATCTAAATTTTTTTGCTACCGGTTCTGTGGGCGTGGCTTAATTAGTGGGTGGGGCTTGGTGGTAAGGTGACTGGGAGGGTGTGGCTTGTTGGTCAGGTGGGCATGGCGAAGTCAATGTCACTTCTTTGCCCTTTTTTAACCTACAAAACACAACACAACACAACTGGCTCACCCACATTATAAAAGCAGCTGTGCTAGACCCAAAATGGCCCCTGCAACAAGCAGGAACCTCACACAGCCACAAAAACCTCCCCAAAAAAACTTTCACACTTTACACACACACAACACAACACAACACAACTGGCTCACCCACAATGTAAAAGCAGCTGTGCTAGACCCAAAATGGCCCCTGCAACAAGCAGGAACCTCACACAGCCACAAAAAGCCCAAAAAACCAACTTTCACACTTTACACACACAAAATTCCACATATAGCTTTGTGAGATTTTGTGTCTTTGTGTAGTTAGAGTGAAACACTACAGAAACACACTAAATCTCAGAAAGCTGCACAAATATTGTTTTATTTTATTTTATTTTTATTTTTATATAAAATCAGCTAAATATAAAACTTCCTAAACTTTAAATGGCTAGGTCTAAAAAAAGAACAACTAAAAAATACCCAATTAACTATTTTTTTAAAGCTTCCAAAGGGGAAAAAAACTTATCTAATAGAACAGGGGTCTCCAACCTTGGCAACTTTAAGACTTGTAGACTTCAACTCCCAGAATTCCTCAGCCAGCTTTGCTTTGCTGGCTGAGGAATTCTGGGAGTTGAAGTCCACAACTCCCTGCCTGCTTGATTGCAGGCAAGGAGATTCAGTTGCTTGCTGATGCAATGGACTGCAGGGATTACAGCAAGGCATTGCGACCAGCAGCTAAGGTAAGCAAGCTGAGAGGGGGTAGGGGTAGGGACTTTTGCTACCGATTAGCAGACAACAGCTGAGATCGTCAGAGCCGGGCTCTCAGAGCCATTTAAAAGAAAAAAAAGGCTTTGATGATCGCGCGGCTCAGCTGGGCATGGGGGCAGGGGCAGGGATTTTTGCTACCGGTTCTCCGAATTGCCCGCCGCCATCGCTACCTACTCGCCCGAGCCGGTCTGAACCTGGAGCATTTCACCCCTGTATTAAACTAGTTTAAGTTTATAACTCTAATGCTAAGATTCCGAACCTCACCTCCATGAGCAACTTGAAAGCACAGTTGTCACGTATGCGGCCTTCTTTACGGGCCTGTGCAGCTAAATTGGTAAACCAAATGCAGGGGACCCAGTATCGATTGTATGAAGAGTTGAGATTTTCAAATTTCTTGCGTTCCTCACGAGTCATGAATCCTTGAAGCAGATGCAAAGAAGCAGGTGTTTATATACAATGCCACTCATGCGATTGGTGAAATTCTTTAGGAGACACAATAGCACGTTCTCATGCAGACTTTCATAGCCTAAGGTATTCAGGATGTGTTGGTCTATAATATTATTGTCTCCATTGGCTCTATCAATAATGGCTACTGGTCATGTAGCCCAATATATCTGGATTGTACGAGACTGGATAAAACTGAAAATTGTGCATTACAATGGCATTTACCAGGCAGCACCTTCCAAATTAAAGGCTGTCCTAAATAGTGCTTACTTTGACTTTCTACATTTTTTTAGAATGTTCCCATGTAATCATTTCAAAAGTCAACAAGAAGATGGGCCTCTAGTGCTACACTTACCTGCTTCCACCACATGGTCCATGGTGGGAAAGCGCTTGAACACAGCAATGCTGACTGAGCGCAAGATCAAGACTGCTGATAGATTGCAATAGCGCATGAGTGTCCGTCGATAAAGCCGTCCCTTCTCATCTACACCATGGACGTTTCCAGAGATGGCACACATCAAGCGATCTGGCTTTGGCATACTGGTGTACTGGCTCCACCAGCGGTTTACTACCAGCGTTACATAGAAGCCTGAGTAAATCCAAGAAAGAAAAAATTATTTATTCATTTATTAAAACTATATTCTGCCTTTCTTCCCAAATTACATTAGAATATGACTTCCACAATCCAAATCTCATTGGGGGTAGGATTATTTTGTTATAAAACCAAAAACAGGTCCTGAAAGCCAAAACTCAGCCATACAAACATGTAAACAATGAATTATAATAAATGTGTTATAACAAAATGTGTGAAGTGTTTTCTATTCAGTTTTTTAGCCACTGCATTTTATTTGTATTCCACATTGCTTATTTCTCTTTTCAAATAGTCCATTCAGCATTTCATGCCCACTTACCATTCTCGGCTTTTACTTCTAGATCCCATCCCTTTACAAGTTTTTATTTGTAATTCTTTTTACTCCTTTTACTCATTAGGAATGCAATTCTTATAGTTCCATAAGAATCAGTATTCTGCAATAAAAGTCATTACTAATGTACATTTCTCTGATGCTCTGTGTTTTTCTCTGAATATTGAGCAAAGGCCAAGATTTTGGAATTAAGGAAATTCCAATATCTTGGCTTTGAGGTTTTACTTTTTGCTTTTAGAAACAATTGACAACTTGTAATTTGCTTAACAACCAGCATCCTTTATTTGTGCTAGTCCCTTGGCAGAATGGGAAAATGAAGGAGGGAGGTTCATATTTGAGCCACAAACAAGAGAGTTGGGGAGATTGATATGTAAAAAAAAATCACTGCATTTTGCCCATCATCTTTGAGGGCAGATAAGTTGGGAAAGAGTTGGAATGGAAATAGCAAAAGGGGGAGGTTGGGAAATGAAGCATCTCACCCAAAACAAAGGCGATAGGGATGAGATTGGCATACTTGTTGCAATAAATGACCACCTTTTCGAAAATCCGTTTCTGATCTTCTTTTAAGACATACCTAGAAATAGAAAGAAGAAATATTAAACAAAATTATTATTTGGCAGTGACTGGCTTCCATGGGCTTGGATTGAAAATTGGGATAATTGAAGGAACCATGAATCCACCATAAGACGTCATGAGAGACTGCTTTTACACGTTTCTTAATTATCTACATTTGGCTTATTCACGTTTCAACTTCAACACAGCTCAGCCAGGAAGAGAAATACAGACATATTCACCCAGTGCCCCACTCTTTTGTTTAAATAGGCTATAACTGACACAAGTAATTTCATGAACCAGGTTAATTACACTGTTGTTGAAAAGGGGCAACACCTTATTTACATGTAGCCTCATCACTTATTTTATGTCACAACTGGGCCAATAACTGCGCAAAGGTTAAATAGCAAACTTAGAATTATTTTAACAGTATACATCCTCGTGCCAAAGTACACTTTCCAGAATGAACAATGTCCTTGTAAATTTAGTATGGTATGGTATACAGGTGGTCCTCGACTTACAACAGTTCATTTAGTGACTGTTCAAAGTTACAACAGCACTGAAAAAGGTGGCTTAGGACCATTTTTAATACTTACAATCATTGCACCATCCCTATGGTCATGTGATCAAATTTGGATGCTTGGTTCATATTTATGATGGTCGCAGTGTCCCTGTTCTGATCTAAGCTTCCTTTATTTTCTTTGACATGCTGCCAAAGACCTAATTGGCAATTATCTTGGCAAGGCCACACAGAAATACAGAGTCAAAAATGGAGCTTCAAAGTACAACCAACACCATCCACAACGTTGCTTCCTGCAAAGGCCCAGGTGCCTTTGCTCTTCCTTTATGTCTTATGGGAGGGGCCAATCATCTCCAAGCCTTACTCCCGAGTCGTCCTTTTGTTTTAACTGTTCTTGCCTTCTGGCAGCTCTGCGCATGTGTGAACTAGGAACAGGCTCTCCATGTTCCTCTGCCTTTCTGATGTCCAACTCTGGAGGCTCCGGAGTCAGCACATAACTCCCAAATGGCCCTGGCCCCATCTCTGCCTCTGACACAGAGCCCTCATCCGAGCCTTCCCCGGACTCCAGGACTGGCCCATATTCCTCCCCAGCCTCCTCACTATCTGACTCTGCTGCCAGCTCCACAGGCTGCTGGCAAACCACAACAGTCCCGGGGTCCTGTGATCCCATTTTGTGACCTTCTCACAAGCAAACTCAATGGGGAAGCCAGATCCACTTAACAACCGGATTATTAATTTAACAGCTGCAATGATTCACTTAACAACTGTGGCAAGAAAAGTTGTAAAATGGGGGAAAACTCACTTAACAAATGTCTCAATTAGCAACATAAATTTTGGAGTCAATTATAATCATAAATTGAGGACCACCTGAAGTAATTCTTCAAATTAGAAAAGGAATTTCATAAAATCTGAGCTTGCAGGTGGAATATTAATAACAGCCCAAAGTTCTGGGAAAACAGGAGGGAAAGGATGCCTACTGATACCCTGATTTACCGATACGTAAGGCTTAGTCCCAAATAGGAAACCGAGAAGACCAGGAACTCCTTGTACAGCAGCTTATAGATGCTCCCACGCCATAGGCTCAGCAGCTTGTAGAAGCCCCCAAAGCGGGCATTGGCCACCCGAGCTGTATATGTAACAGTCATGCTAGGCAGAAAGAGGCTCAGTGCACCTGCAATTGAAGGAGACACAGAATTAGAGCTTAGTACATGCAAACTTCTCATGCAGATCACCTTCTCAGTTTCTCACAAGAGGACTTACAGTGAAGAAGAAAAGGTTAGGTTCTTTCAGAGTCTTTTATTCCTTTTGGACAGAGCAGCAACCTCACCTTTGAGAACTTAAGTTGCCTTCCCCAACCTGACGCCCTCCAGATTGGTTCCTTTTGGCTCGGCACTTTCCCACGGCAAGGAGAAAACCCTGCGGGAATTCCTTGCAAGTCCTACTGAAAAACTCTGAGGATGCTCTGGTGAGAACACTCCCTTAAGTGGGTGTGTTTGTAAAAGAGCTTTCCTTGCCTCAGCCCCTGTCAAAAGTGTTTTTCCTTTGGAAAAAGTGATAGTTATGAACAGGGAGTAGCATCACTGAGGAGGAGTTATTACAACATCCAAACTGATAATTGTCATGGAAGGAAGAATACTTTTTACAATGGGGAGATTAAAAAAAAACCCTCCCTTTTACAAAACTGCTGATTTTAACTGGGTCAGAGAATCAGGCCCTCAAGCCATTATTCCATGGTAATTCAGCTATCAACTAAAAAGAATAGCCCTGATTTGCATCTTCCTTTCTTCTTTTATGTTCTCTACAATGGCACAGAGAAATTAGTTTCCCCCTTGCAACCAAGGGTGTTCCTAGGACAATACCTAGCAAATCAAAAGACAAGGAAGGATTCTATTTTTTTTTCCTTTTTAAAATAAGACTAAACATTTAAATATGGCAGGAAAAGACAAGATTGCAAGTGGAAGATAACATTATCTGAACACTGAAATGATAATGTAAAGTTGTACCAGCATTTGCAGAAGATTGTATAACACCTGGTACATACAATACCTTAGGCTAAGATGTACTTGGCTACTTTATGGTTCAGGGTTAATTCAATAAACTGCAATTTGGATTAGCCCCTTATGTGAGCACATCCTAGAAAATGTCCTCTGGAACCACAGTTATTTGTTATAACAGACAGACAAAATCAGGAAAGGCTTTATGTTCATCTTAAAGATTTTTTTAAAAATATATTTTAAAATTTATATTCAAAAAGCCATTGTTGATCAAATTTTGCTGTGTGTAAAATTGGAGTTAATAATGTTAATAAGGTTACATGTTCAGGTTGGCATCACTTAATGAATACAATGGGGACAGGCAACACCATATTCACATGCTCATCATCAGGGAGGGAAAAAGTTTTCTATAAAATTGAAGATAGAATTGTGAGAGAAAGAAAGCAGCGCTTCCTTTGCCAACTTAAATTACTCACTTCTAACATTGCTTCACATTTAGTATGAGTTACAATAATGTAAATAAACACCTGATGATAGAAGGTGGTACCTTTTGACCTACTAAAGATTCTACAAAGAACAGCAGGCATATCAGTCTTGCTCTACCAGTTTAATGCTGGAATAGCCGCTGCTTTGAATTTAAACAATCCTCACTGAAATAGCTTAGAAGATTTCAACATCAGATATTACTGTTAAAAATAAGTACAGAATATCTAATAAAGTATTATTCATTTTCTATGCATCAAATGTGGGTCTGACATGTTTTAAAAGTTTGCATAATTATTCTAAGCGTTATAGTTTTTTATGCCTTAGTTAAATAGCACATATCTAAGCCTTATTAGATGCAATTGTCAACAATCTTATATTGCTGCATAACATGCCGCCTTCTCCTACATATTCTTTGTGGTTTTCTCTTTATTGAATACTGCATGATGTGCTTCCCAAGGCAGAAGCACATCTTCTTATGCCATCATGTGTATTGCTGGCATGCACACATCATAAATCATCATACTATTAAAAAGATGTTGAGACTCTGGAAAAAGTGCAGAGAAGAGCAACAAAGTTGGCTAGGGGGCTGGAGGCTAAAACATATATAGAACAGTTGCAGGAATTGTCTAGTCTAGTGAAAAGAAGGACTAGGGATGACATGATAGCAGTGTTTCAATATTTGAGGGGCTGACACAAAGAAGAGGAGTCAACCTATTTTCCAAAGCACCTGAAGGCAAGACAAGAAAAATGGATAGAAACAAATCAAGGAGAGAAGCAACCTAGAACTAAGGAGGAATTTAACAGTGAGAACAATTAACCAGTGGAACAAATTGCCTTCAGAAGTTGTGGGTGCTCCATCACTGGAGGTTTTTAAGAAGAGAACGGACAGCCACTTGTCTGAAATGGTATAGGGTCTTCTGCTTGAGGAGGGGCTTGGACTAGAAGGTCAGACTAAAAGACTTCCAAGTTCCCTTCCAACTATGTTATTCTGTTATAAACTTAATTCTGGAAAAATAGCTGTGTGCCCATTTGAATATGATATTGCTTTATTTATGGTAATTTGAAATCAAATGATGCTATGAGGGATTACTTTCTGCACTATCCTTGTGTTGGAATAGGTTGTCTTATTTATTTCATTTTAAACCTTCCTTTACCTGTGGTGATTGCCTCTTTACCCCCTTTTCTTCCCAACCATCCTATGAAGTAGGCAAGTTAGGCTGAGAAACAATGACTGAACCAATGACCATCACTTCTTGAATCTGGTTCCACATCTCTATAATGCTAAGCTTGGCCCTCCCACAACTGAACAGCATTCTCTCTCTACAGGAATTGTTAGCCTAGCATTTCCTATTCGTATCCTTCTTGTGTGCAAGAGAAAGGAGGGCTGCCATTCCCCAAATAAATTCTTTGGATAATGGGCAAATGTGACAGTAAATACAGAATTCAAACACAGTCATTTTAATAAGTATTATAATCAAATCACAGTTTAATAAAGGTCCTATGATGGAAAAGAATATGCAGTTTTCTCACGATTAATACATAAATATTCAAAAGAATAAAAGCCAGTCCTTTGCAAGCTATAGGCTATATACAATAGCAAGAAGAGAAGTAAAACAAAACCTGCAAGGATTCCCACAACACTCCTTTGTTGGACTGGGATAACCTTGCCAATATTTCAGCTTTTTGTTTAAAGCAGTTTGATTTGCAGATGGTAGATCAAAGTACCACCAACAATACCTACTAGGCAACTTTGTACCAATCACTCCTTCCAAGCCCAACCAAACTCCAAGGCTGTTGTAGGAGGAAAAACAGGATATAGGATTGCAGAATATGCCAATGTATGCTCCTCAAGGAAATGCAGGCTACAAATCTAGAAAAAAGATCTTCCATCATAGTATAGCAATTCAGCTGGATTATTGAAATTTTTATTGGTAGATCTGCATTTGGCAAAATATGTAGCATTCATCAGAATATATTCTCTTGCAAAACCTTGGGGCACAGCTGTAGCCCCTTCCCTTTTTATCTTGAGTTAAATTAGTTGCTCCTTCAAACCAGTAGAACAAATCCTTGAACTCTAAAAGAGACCTGTAACTATACTTTGAAGGGGGTCTGATTTAATCTTTCACACGCACACCCTTACCTTTTCCAGATCTAGCAATGCTTCTCTCATCTGGTACATTCTTTTCAGAGATTTCCCCTCCCCACTTGCTATTCCAAGAAGAATTGAGAAATCAGATGCCTTCCCCTGGGGGGACAACAATCAAACCTTCTTGGATTAAGAGTGGAAGGTAAAGCCTTTGAAGGAGGGCAGCTTTCCAGACTATCTAAATGAGTTCTTCATTAATGAGTAAATACTGAGCCAATTTTTTTCCCTTAACTAAAGTCTGGCTGTCGTACAACTGACCACTGACTGAGATTCAACCCATAAACAAATTCCATAAGACCCTGAGTGTTCTTCCTTCCTTCCTTTTTTCTTTCTTTCCTTCCCTTCCCCAGAAGCAGTTGGGGGATGGAAGAAAAGAAAATATGAATGAGAGAATACTGATCTTCAAACCAAAGCATTGCTCTTAGGTGAGATGAGTCTTAATAACTTGCAAATGGAGATAATGCAATAAGCATCTTGGTTAGCAAGTTTGGTCTGCATGCAACTATGCTAGAGCCTATAAAGTATTTGCAGAAAGTTCTTTCTCAGAGTCAGAAAATCTAGGAGATCCTAATGTCTGGAATCAAACTGATCACCTTAAACACAGGTAAGTTTTCCACATGCTGCATCAATTAATGGGAGAACTGAGCAAATAGAAACAGTTCATTCCTTTAAGATTTATATTGTCTTAAGTCCCTACATGAAATCACCAAGATTCTCATGGTAGTTGATAGACCAAAGGATATAGCATAATCTTTACTGAATCTGCTATAATGTAGTTCTCCCTTGGAAAATGGCCACAAGAGAAACATTCAACAGAGTTTCTACCAATTCCTGTAAACAATTCAGGGAATAAGTAGTGTCATTAGCCTATCATTGCAAATGCAGCATCAGACTCTGAAGGTGACATTAAAGGACTGTAAAAATAATTTTAGAATGAGCGTAAGTATATTGTGATGCTAAATATGTATAGATTAGACTACAAATAATCTGATTTCATTAATACTTATTGTTCAGCAATTAAATACACAGATATAATATAGAACATTGCTTAAAGCATACCTTATTTTTAGAATGGGTATTAATATTCAATTCATTTCCTATAATATTCAAACTTTCAGGGTCTCAGACTGAGCTAAAGCAGTGTTGCTCTTTCTTGGCAAGCATGATGCATGGGGGATACTGGGAACTGACTTCTATCCCTCTTCAAGTTGCCAAGGTTGAAAAACGCTGAACTAGAGAAGCTCATTGACAATAAAGAAGAGACAGGATTTTCCTTCAGATTTCAGCCCAGAATTCAATACTGGAATAAATATAAATGCATCCAAGGAGAAGTCTTTCTAAGTTTATCACTCTGATCCTATACTGATGAAGGCGGAAAAGGCAAGCATTTAAACTTTACCGCCTACAATCCCAAACCACATGCAGGCCGACTAGAAACACCTGTAAGTAAATTTTATTAATGATCTCAGCACGCAATAGCTTTTAAAGAAGCCATAAGCTTGTAACAACATTCACAGGATTCAAAATTTTACAAAGCAAGGAAAAAGAACCAGCTGCTTGCAGGAACAGAGAACCCTAAACAAACCATTTTAAGACTAACCTGTGCAAAATATTATTTTGCTGTCTTGCAGTAGCCTTTAGCCAGGATACCTGCAGGAGCAGACTGGTTTGCAAAGTTCTCTCACAATGATTTTCAGATTCAAACTTCACTAGGGATGCAAGTATTAGAGATAAGGTGCCAAAAAAAGGGAACAGCTCAGACAGCCCCTACAGGTTTTTAAATACCGGTACTTACATATCTAAGCCTTTGAAATCTGA